TTCTGGGTCAGTTTCCTAGCTGAAGAACAAGGAGTAAGATGGCATCAGTCAGGATGAGCCCAGAGGCCAGGAGATCTGGTGATTCTTGGAAGCCAGTGCCCCAGCTTGGCTCCATGGCTGTCCTCAGGTCTTCCAAGGAGGCACAGAGCTGTGCTGAAACTGCTGGGCAAAACTTTGGCCTCAGGCCCACTGCTGGTTGGCTGGGTGCCCCCGAGCTGGGACAGTCTGATCCTTTCTTGGCTGGGGAGGAGATAGCAGAAGGGCCTGATTGCTCTTTCCCCACTGGGGGGTCCTGGACATAAATCTTCCCAGCCCAAGGGGTTGCCTAGGACCCAGGCTTCTCAGCCAGTGCATTCCTTATCGAGGATGGCTCCAGGCTGCTGCTTCTAGGCCCTGTTGCTCCCAGCACTGGGCCCCTGCGGGAGAAGCTGATCTGAGCCCTAGGAAGCCTCTGTCCAGAGAGCTGTGTCTTTTTCCAGGTCTGGCCTTGACATTAAATGGCATTGCTTTGGGCAGCCCTGTCCTTGGTTTCCAGTCAGTAAGGACTTTTTTCCCCCCAGTATATAACACATTTATTATTATCTGTTAGGTAGACTCAAACACCCCTACGGGGCTCTATGATATTTTAAAGTTATACAACAAGCACATTATTCATGACACAGAATTATCTTGTCCTAGAACTACATACACAAGTATACCTGGAAAGCATAGCTTATTGGGCAATTAAGTTATAAGAGAAGAGTAAACATTATTTAAAGATCCCTCTGCTTTGGGCTGAGATGTGATTTAGATCAGAACTGTTTCTTTTTTGCATGATCAAGAACTCTAAGAATTCTGGTCAACTGAAGAATAAAAGTTAAGAAAACATTTGCATTTTCAAAGTAACTTCTACGAAAAATGCCAGTAAGCAAAATAATCATCATAGTTACCTTAATCTATGTGGAATGCTTCACAGCATAAAAAGATACCCAAACTCACACTTGGTATAAATGCTTTCCAATCTACTTTACATTCTATCTATACTTCTGAATGACTACCTATGCATCTTGACTGAATTCTTTCAAGAGCATAAAAGACAATGGAAGATTACAAGGGCCAGTTCTGTGCAGCATTAGGACCCAATCAGCACTTCTGAAACTCTTTTGTGTCACAGAATCCTGGGACAATCTGGTGAAACCTATGAATCCCTCCTCAGAGAAATGTTTTAGAAGTATAACACAAAATACATGACGTTTCAAAGGAAATCAATTATATTAAAATGTAGTTATCAAAAAATTTAAAAAATATGCTTGTCACCCAATGACTTATGTATATTATTATAATGTACTCAGTGACAAGATCTTATGGAAAGTCCAGTGACTGTTAGGCTTCTACAGTGATAAACCTGAATGAAACATCCAGTTGTCTGTAGCAATCACGTGGTGATAGGAAAATATCACAGAGGGCTGTGGTTTGTGGCCTTTATAACTAATGGGAAAAATTTTGGTTAATGAAATAGAGACTTGGTGTTTTCCCTGTTCAAGTTCATGAATACCGAGATCTATCTGTAGGCTCCTAGAAAGGGATTGCTAATTGAAGGGACAATCCTGAGTGGACAAAGAGGGGCTTAGCACCAGCCTGCTTGCTCAGAACCTTATTAAATACAAGACTTTCATAGTCTATGTCTTGGTTACTTTTCTCTCACTGCTGGGACAAAACTACCCAACATCCAAAATGAAGGAAGGAAAGGTTTATTTAGCTCACTGTGTAGGTTTCAGTCCATAATCAGCTGGCTCCAAGGCAGGCTGGCGTGGCACTAGGGCAGCACTTCAAGGCAGCAGTCAGAGTAAAACAGGAAAACAAGCTCTTCTCTTCCCTTAAATGGTACATTGACCACTTGGGCCCCCTCCAGCATGGGTGCAAAACTCAAAAAATCTCTGTGCCCTCCTTTTGCACAGGATGAGGATATTTACAAAGCAAGATCCCAGCTCCCTGCTGAGTCTCTAAACTTCTCAACCTGACACAATGTATCAGCCATAATAGAATGGTGGAAGGGCTAGAGGTTTTCTGCAGACTTCTCTAGGAATGGTATGATGCTTGGCTTGGGTTGGCACAACTCTAAGGTTCACAGGTTCAGTTCGGAACACCATCACCCCTGGCCAGAGAGGCCCTCATGAGGTGCATCGATGTGCGCTGCGTCAGGCCCAGTGCCTGCCACCCAGCTACAGGGTAGAGAGGGAAACAAGGCCTCCACTGGAGTAAACTGTTTTCTTCCACTCAACAGTCATTGTCAGAACTTCTGCTCAGACCTGAGGTAGGCACTATGCACACTGAGATCTACTTTCACGTTTGTGTGGTTGAGTGTGTGCACAGGCGCTGTGCTCCATGTTAGGTTCCGTGGCAGACATGAACCTTCCCTGAGGAGACAGATATTAGAGGGGCAAAACAACTTGGAACATCAGCTTGTCACTACAGCTGTGAAGAGGTGATGGGGGAGAAGGCAAGCGACGGACGCCTTCTTGGAGAAAGTGTCCTTCAGCAGAAGACTTTGAGGATCTCGTTGCCAGGCTCACAGGAGGGTAGAGTGCATCAGACAGGGGATCAAGCTGGCAGGGAGCTGATCCTGCTGCAGGAGGCACCGGGACCAGATGATGAGGCTGCGGGAGAGTGAGGGCATAGGTGCCCACAGCCCTCGGGCCCCCTGAAGAAGTTGGACAGTATTTACAGGCCAGTGGAAACCATCAAAGGGTCTCCAGTACCTGCTGGAATGCGTATCTTCTGGAGCTCTAGGGCTAGCATTGAAAATATTACTGAGATTGTTTTCACTTCTCGGCTCCTTCTTCAGGCTGGAGTCCCTGCCTGGATGGCTTCTCACCATCTTCCTGCCCAGTCCCCCAGTGGACGGTCGGGTTAACTTTCTTCTTAGCATCGCCTCCACCAAGACTGCCTGCATAGCAGTTTTCAGTTGTCTTGTGCTGCCCTACATTACGGCCCTGGGCATTCCTGGGTTGCGCCCAGCGTGGCGGTTACACGACAGTGCTCACTTTCCCTTTCTCCAAACCACCACTGGAGTGAATGGAAGTGAGGGGCTGGCGGGAGGGGAAGTCGGGAAATTTTTGGCTGCAGACTGGGGCCTACCCTTCACTAGTCTGGGACTGGAGTAGACATTGACACCTGCTGGTAATAAATGGAATGGCACGTAAGGTGGATCGGAGGAAGAGGACTCCTGGAAACAGTCCAGGTTTACTGGGCTTTCCTGAAGGTTAATCACAGGAGCTGTAGCTAGGAAGGTCCGATGATTTCGAGAGGCAGAGCCAGGCTGGATAGAGGAGCGAGGAAGCATTAATGGAAAACCGCTCATAGGTGAGGACCCAGGGTCCAGCCCCGGGGGACTGCTGAGACTGGAGTCCACACCGTGGACCGAAGCCAGACTAGCAAAGGGGGGCTCAGTTTGCTGCACAGGGATCGTACACACGACAGGGGAGATGACTGCTTCACCCATGGGAGGACCCTCAGAGAGTGAGACTGGCTTCAGATCCATGTGTCTATCCACATTTGCCTTTCCTGGAACAAACTGTTATGTGTTAAGGTTTGGGACTTTGACCAGGGAGCTGTGTTTTCCTTCTGTTGGTCATCTGATGTTCCTCCTGCTCATTTGCCTCCCCCACCACCCTCAAAGCCTGCCCAGGGACTCCTTGCCTTTCCCCAGGGGCTTCGGGGAAGTGGAGAATGCTGGGATGAGGAAGGCAGAACCTAGGAATTAGACACTGATGGCAGAGGCTGGGCTGTGTCCCCGGGGCACTGGCCAATAGGGGTGGATATCTCAGCACTGACTTACTCTCTCTTGGCCCACTTTTTGGGGTTTTATCTTCCTGCTCCATCCTGCCTCCTCCTCCTTTGCAACACTGCATGGGCTGCATCCTGGCCCTCATTTCATTCCTGTCTCTGAACACTTACAGACATATATGGGCAGACACATACAAGTCCTGAAGGTGTGATGTGTGCTCCCATCCAGAGTTACCATCACTCGACCACGGTGTCTCTTGCACCTAACTCCTCTGCAGACCCAGACCCAGGAGATCTACTGCTTTCCGTGTGGCTTCCTCTGAAGGGTCCATGCCCTGCACACATAATACACCTAACCCTGTAGCCTACTCCCCGCCACATGCTCTGGCTTCATCTGAGGCACTGTCATCCACATACTCAGCTACTGAAGCCAGAAACATAACCCGGGAGTCACTTCCCTTGGCTTTTCTATCTCTTAAGCTGATGCCCCTTTCACTTTCCCAAATGCATATCTGAGCATGAATCCCCTGCCTGAAACCCTGACAATGGGTTTCATGGATGTTTGTTAAACTCCATTCCTCACATTCCAAGCATTGATTCTCTGGCTGCTTATTAACAGGCATGGTGCCTGCCCCAGACTGTGCCTGAAACTGGACAACTTGCCAGGGTTGGAGGGAGAGGGAATTTATGTGTGTGAGAAATATCGCTCAAGTTCATGTGCAGTCCCTCTAAAACACTTTGAGAACAAATACCCCAGTTTTCACTGATCATAGAGCCACCACACATGTATACGCACAGTAGGGCCAACTGTGTTCTTCCCTCTTTCATCCCCCACCTTTCCTTCTTCCCTTCTTTCTCTTTTTTATGGACTGGAAGTAGGAGTTATTGGTGAACGTGATTAAGGAACGCCTGGCAAAATGGACAGTGTCACAAACTCAGACCTGCATTCGTGCAGAGGATCACGGGGATGACGGGGGTGGCAACGCCATGGCCAACCACTGTTCAGTAATTTGTCTTCAAATTCATCCACATCAAACTGACTAATGCTCCTCTTCCTTGAGAAGTGGGCTCAATCATATGCTTCTTGCTATGTGGCTTGGTGCACATGAACACAATGACTTACTGTGAACCCCAGCCACTGTGCTTGGAGATTTCCAAGGCACCCTGAATATCTAATTGTCTGAAGCCCAGACTTGGGTCAGCCTGACATTAGATACTTGAACATCACTGGAAAAGGCTTTTTCTAAGGTCCCTTTGGGCAGTGCATACAAGCCACAGGCTGCACACTGCCCAGGGGCTGCTGTGGGAAGCCACTGCTTACCAGGCCTCACGAGAGATAGAGGGCAGGCACATAGCTGTGCGCTTCCAGCTTCTTCCATCCCTGGCTGGTTGTGGTGAGCTGGCCCTGACCCTCAATAGGTACTTGAGCCATTCTCAGGCCCTGAGTTGGATGCTGGGGTTTTGCTCTGTGATCTTGAGAGTTCTGGTTTCAGGGCCTCCCAGTTCCTTGGGCCGGATGAGCGTTTTTCTGGGCTGTCCCTGCCTGTGTGTTGGCCTTGGGACCTGGGCATCCTCCCTTCTTCAGCGCAGCTGGGCCTTATTCACTGGCTGCTTCCCGAGCGAAGGGTGAGGACAGACCTGATGGGAGGCGCTGAGGCCTCTGACTAAGCTAATATCTCATCTGAGGGAGGCAGAGCTGCGCAGGGTCAGTCGGGCTGTTATTGTCTACTGGAGTGGGGAGTTTGGGCCAGCAAAACTGCATTGTGTCCCAGCCTCATTCAGGCCCAGAGTCTGGTTTAGTGGGGCAGGGATAGGTGAGAAGGGGAACAGGCTTCCAGAGAAGGGTGCAGCTTTGAGGTTTTCCCTAGGCTTTCTGAGCCAGCCAGCTGATTTCCTAACACCACTGTTAGCCTTCCAGGAAGCCTCACCTACTGTGCTCACTTAGGCAGGAGGGACAATGTGTCACTTCTTTCCTCAGAGCCTGGCCTCACCCTGGAGAAGGGAGCTCAGGCAGAGCCTGTGGGGCAATCTGGGGCTTGGGGAAGGCTGGGATCTTCCCAGGGCTTCTGGCTCTTGGAGCCACCTCCTTAGCTGGTCTCTGAAGGGTGGCCTCAAATGGCAGCTCTGTGGGCTGGGCACCTGCCAGGGAGGCCTGGCCAGACAGCTCATTTCCATGGGAGGGAGGGCACTTTTTCTCTGCCACCCATCCAGCCTCCCTCTGCCACCCCCTGGCTTTCTTCCGTACTTGCTCCGTCCTCTAGGGCCAGACTAGTTCCAGTATACCTCAGGCAAGCACCGCCAGGCCCCACGCAGCTCCAGGAGGCCAGTCGCCAGCAGCTCAGTGAAAACCCAGAAGCTGCCTGCAAGACAGCCATGCTGGCCCTCAGCCTGGTCATTCTCAGCCTGCTCAGCGCAGTGCTGCCTGCCAGCTGTCAGCAAGGTAGTGTGAGATGGGGATGGTCCTGGTGGTTCCAGGGAGGAGGGTCTGGGCCGGGCACTGGGGGTCTCTGGGAGGATGGGGTTGTGTCCCAGTATCTCCCACCCCATCACCTGTACTGGAAGGAGCAGGAGTGGGCTAGCCAGGCCTCTGTCTGTGACAGAGGACCGGTGGGGGAAATGTTGACCTTAGGATCTGGGGCAGGATCCAGAATTCCCAAGTAGAAGCTGCCCTGGAGATGGCTGGGCTCCAGGGCAGGGTCAAAGCTACATGGATATGAGAGGTCCAAGCCACTTCTCCATGGCAGAGCAGGTTGGTTGTCTCTGCTCCCTTGGGCTTAGATAGGGAACTGAGCCCCTACATGGCCCCTGCCATAACCTTAGCACTATCCTGCTGTGTGGTTTTAAGAAACCATGGCCTGTCTCTGAAATTCAGTTTTTCTCAACTATAAAATGAGCCACTTCTGAGAGCCATTGTCAGATCAGGTGTGTGTGCCCAATGAAGCACCACACTGCAAAACCTAGCACCCTCTGTACTCTGCCAGGCTACATCTATGGCCAGCATCTGGTGACTGAGTCCAGAGAGCCTGGCAGAAATAGATTCCGGGCACCCTCTGTGGATGCTCACTACAGAGCCACATGGGAAGGCACACAGGGGGCTATGGTCCTGGTGTGCCTGGAAGAAGCAGGAGGGGGCTTCCCAGGGTTGCTGTCAGTGCTTGAGCAGTCACTGAGCTGAGGAAGCAATGGGCCTGCCCCGCTGTGTCTCTGAGGCCAATGAGTCTAAATGTTGGTCTTCGCAGGGCAAACCATATTGTGTATCTTCTGCTCCCCCTGGTGCTCAGCCTGGCTTGACCTGGCCATAGGCAAGAGAGTTCCACGATTTTCCCTCCTTCTCAACACCTGCCAGGCTGGGAAAGAGCACCAAGAAGAGACTCGATTTCGCCTGAAGCAGGAGAGGTTTAGGGTAGACTTCAGGGAGGACTTTGGTGTGGGAGTAAGGCAAGCAGAGTGAGGGGTTCCAGTGTTTGACCCTCTTGTAATGTAGGTTGCTTCTAGGGATACAGATGCTAATGTCCAGAAGGGGGACTCCCAGCCGTTTCTTGCTGACTTTTGTTCCCTCCTGGAGCCCTTACCTCTGAGCATCTTTCCTGTACAAGACCCCAGAGGACAGTGACTCTTTTCCTCCCAGGAAAGTGGACAGCTCTTGAAGCTGCTAGCAGCCAGGTGGCAGACTTCCGGAAGTTCCTGAGAGTTGGAGCTGGTGTCTCAAGTCAGAAAGCCGAGAAGGCACACAGTGGGCCTCATTTGGTGTCTGGTCCTATAAGCTGAGGAAGCAAACAAGGCTCACACGGAAGCTCCTTTCCTCCTCTTTGACTTTGCTGGGAACCCCAAACTCCACTGAGCCCTGCCTGGCTGACCTCACACTTTTCTTTCCAAGCTCCTCCCAGAGAAACCTCTAGCTACAGAACAGGATCTTCCAGATGCAAGACTCAACCTGGCAGTTCTGAGCCAAAGAGGAGGAGGAGGAGGACAGCTACACCCAGTGGGCAAGACCTGGGCCAGCTTCCAGAGGGCTGCCCTTTACACCGTGGGGCTCAGGCACCTGTTGGAGGCCCTGTGTTTGACCCTGGGGGAGGCAGCAAGGCTCTGGCTGCCCAGATCTCAGACACAGCCCCTTAACTTCACCCCCTTCTGGCTGCTCAGGCCTCCTTTGAACTTCCGGCTGCTTTTCCTTCCAGTGCAGTCCTTATTCTCAGGCCCAGAGGGGTCAGATGGGCCTTCCCTCCCACCACTGGGAACCCAGCATGTCTTCCTGGGTTCTGCAGTGGCCGATGGACGCCAACACAAGCCCCCTCTGTTAGGTTAGAGGCAGGACTGCCCTTGCAGCCCCCTTTCCTTTCCAGGCCTGGGGAACCTCCAGCCCTGGATGCAGGGACTCATTGCCGTGGCTGTGTTCCTAGTCCTCGTTGCAATCGCCTTTGCTGTCAACCACTTCTGGTGCCAGGAAGAGCCGTGAGTGCTGCCCCAGGGCCCGGTGCTCTGTCTGTCCCATATCTTTCTGTCAGCTTTAGGGAATGCTTTGTCTTCTAGGAATCTCAATGTTTCCATCTGTAGAGTCAGAGTAGCTGGCCAGGCTTTCTTCTGGAAAACAAGGTACTGCTTGCTCTTCTAGAGGGTCAGCTGCAGAGCAGAGGGGCTCACAGGCGAGATAAACAGGGTGCAGTGTGCTCTGAGCAGCCTGAGCAGGTCTGGGGTGGCCGGAGAAGGTTTCTAAATGGCTCATCTATCCTGCAGCCTGAAGCACCAGAAGAGTCAGTTGGGGGGCAGAGGACAAGGCAGCATGGGGAGCGCAAGAACCTGCTTGGCCACTCTTCAGGCCAGACCTGGGTGTCAAGGATGCATCTACCCTTGGCGCAACTTCCCTCTGATCTCATACAGGTGGCCTGGTGACCAAGCACCAATAGTGTCCCTGTGTAACCTGCTGAGGAAACAAGGGCAGCTCAGTGGGGCGGGAGAGAGAGAGGAAGATGGCAAGATGAGGTTGAGGTTGGGGAGATGGGCAGGACTGGGGCCAAGCAGGGCCTTGTGCATGACTTTTATCCTGAATGGTAGAGGTGTGGCGGGAAGTCTGTGAGTATGTGAAGCTGGCTGCTGCAGGGAGTGAGAATAGTGCCCAGGCATGGACAGCAGTGAGCATGCAATGAGCCCAGAGATGGCAAAGAGAATGTGGAGAAGGGACCCATCTCAGAGCTGTCTAGAGGTGGTGGGCGCATAGATAGGGGAAGAAAGACGGGGTAGTGTCCTGAAACTTCACTGAGACAAAGAGGATGGGCAGATTTGGGGGCAACTGGTGAGTTTAGTTGAGGACATATTAGGTCTAAGATGCCTGTGGGGTTCCAGGGACAGAGCCCACACTGAGGTGGGCTTACACTTGAAGGAGAGGGAAGGCATTTCTCCAGTGACTCTGTGGACTGCTCATTTGGGGTAGACATTGAGTCCTGTGGGGTCTGCATTGGAGGCGCAGCTGGGCATGGCTAGGGAGTAGTGGAGAGGGGCCTTGGATTTGGGAAATATGTTTTGCACATCTCTGTCCACCACTATGGGGCAGGCAGAAGGATGATAGGCCTTGGTAGGCTGAGGTCAGACATAGACAGAGGTGCCTCTGAGAAGGGAAGCCTTTGGCTCATCAGAACCAGGATCCAAAACAGGGCCTGTGAGGACGGGTGGGATGGGAGGTTACTGTCACATCCTATCCCTAGGGAGCCTGGAGCTACGGTCATGACTGTTGGAGACAAGGTGGACGGGGTCTTGGTGGGAATGGAGGGAAGGTACTCCTCCATGGCTGCCGGCTTCAGGTAAGGGGCTGAAAGAGGGCTGCCTGCCCTGAGCTCCAGGGACCTGGGGGGTGGGGTTCAGGAGAAGTCACTGCTGGGTATGGGGCAAGGAAGAGCTAGGAGGAAGGGCTGTGTCAGGATTTCAGGGCTCCATGAGCCGCCAAAGCTTTGGTTTGGTGAGAGAGCTCGTTTAATGGGTGGAGACCTGGTGGACATTCAGTGACAATTCTAGGGCAGTAGGTGCTATGGGGAAGAGGGGCTAAACACAGCAGAGAGTCAGTGAAAGGCTGCACGAGTGTGGGAACGCCTTGCAGGAGAGGGCTGAATTGCAGAGGGAGCTTGGGGAGCAGGGTAAGGGGACCCAGCAAAGGAGGAGCTCAAGGAGGATGGAGGTGGGACTTGAGAGGTGTATGGAGAGGCCTCTAGTCCAGGTGCACAGCCTTTTGTGGGATGCAAATGTTTGTTCTACAAGATATTGTTTTTGCAAGCCTAGGATGGGGCAAGGACACGAGGACAGGACAAGAAGCCAAAGATCCACCAGGCCCTTGCTTCTCTTCCAGGTCCAGTGAGCACAAGAATGCCTATGAGAACGTCCTAGAGGAGGAGGAGGGCAGGGTTCGCAACACCCACATGTGACCAGGCTCATCTGAGGCTCTAAGGCACCTGTGATAGACACCAGTGCCAGCCCAGCATTTCCTTCCCTGTGCAGGAACCTAAAAGAACAGAATGACACCCCAAGTTATATCCAGCCAAAGTTGGGGCTCACATGATGCCCAAGTACGGCCTGGCTCTAGCTCTTGGGTCTTCCTGAGGGTCTCCTGCCCAACTCAGAAGGCCTTCAAAATGGTAGCCAGCTTAACACCTCCCATCATGCCTCCTACCTTCCCTGTGAGCATGGAAATGGTCCTTATTTCTGTGAAATAAAAATTTTTTGCATGTCTGGGGTTGAGGCTCAGAAATAGCCCCTCAGGCCTCCAGTGAGGCCCATCTTTTTCTCTCAGTTATGACAATCACCTTCCACCTGTCACGGTGACTTTGGAGGATTACACAGCAAGGTCGTAGGCCACAGGCAGCTGGACTGGGTGCCGTGTGAGTTGGGGGAGGCCAGTGAGGGTGAGGGCTGACAGCCCATTGTGGGGGAAAGTGGGCCTGTGTCTTTCGTGAAGCCTGAATTGGGCACAGGATGAGCTTCCAAGTGAGCCAGGAGACTCAAGGAGACAGGGAGACCAGGTGTAGGGAGACAGCCTGCCTGACCAAGCCTTCCCTTCAGCCACGCCACAGGTAAGCTCCCTGCACGGCAGATGGTGGTGAGAGCAGGGCACCCCTAGGGCTGGTCAGTACCAAGTGTGTCCCTGCCTGTTTCTTGCCCACAGAGCAGGAAAGGGAGTCAGGGACAGTGTCTCTCACCTACCTGAGATTCTGGGCTGCTCTTTATGCAGCTCTGCACCCCTCTGCTTGGCACTGTGGAGTTCAGTTCTCTTGTCTCTCATTCATCCAGCTCTGTTCCTCTCACCATAGCCTCTGAGTGCTGGGCTTTGGCATGGGAAGTGCTAGGAAAGAGTCTGGGGCTGGACTCGGGAGACCTAGATTTGAGTCTTCGGTCATGACCGACTCGCTGTGTAACACTGGGAGAGCTCCTGTCAGCCCCAAGCCAGAGGCGCTAGCGTCCCACTACAGTGCTGGAGTGGGACTCAGTTCTCACTAATGCCTTGGCTCAAGCCTACAGTGGGGCTTGGGAACAAAGTAGCAGGCAGAGGGGAGAGGAAGGGGCCTCAGGGCTGGCTGACCCTGGACTTACCTCGGTGGTAGCAGGTCTTAGGGAGCAGCCTGTCTGCCTGAGATACTTACTGGGGCATTCCCAGGTGCCAGGGATGGGGTGGGCCCTGCAGCAGAGGGAGTGGGCAGGGTTTAGGATGCATCCTGAGCAGGGAGTGGGAAGCATCATTTTGGCTCTGGGCCTTCCATGCCTTGTAGTGTGACCCGAGACAAGTCACCTCCTTTCTCTGGGCTCTGGCTTTAAGGACTATGGCTGGTGCTCCTGTGAGTTCTACTTTGGTCCAGGTGACTTTCTGTGACTCACACCTTCTTATCTACTTCTGCAGGTCTAAACTTCGACTGTTTTTTTTTTCTTTCTTTTTTAAACTAAAATTTTTTTTAATTTTAAAGAGAGTAAAACAAAACAACAAAACTGAACAAAATAAATCAGAAGAAAACAATGTAATTAACACAGATTTCAAAGCAAGACCAATATTGGCCCCACGATGTCTCTTATTTTCTTCTACATAGTTGTTTATATCTTCACACACAATGAATTCATACAAAACAAAATAGTATAAAACTGATCAAAACAGAATAGTGAAGGCATTACAGGCCTTCAAAACCAGAAAATAGGAAAATCAACAATGGCTACCACAATGTGTCTTGTTCTCTTCAAAACAGCTGTCCATACCTTCCTGTATATTGAAATTAAATAATACAAAACAGACTAAAACCACCCTGAACAAAGATAAAAGCATTACTGGATTTCCCAGCATGATGATAGGAATCAGCAATGGATACCATAAGATCTCTTTTTCTTCAAAGTAGCTGTTCATTTTATCATACTTTTTATAATGAATTCTCATAAACTGTTTAGGAGAAGTTCTAGGCATGTATAAGCCTCTGCATGTACATCTATCCTTTCTGCATTAGAGGGAAAAACGAAACAAAAGGAAACAAATTACTAGAAAAATAATAAAAAGACAAATAAATAACAATAGCAAGAAGCACAAAACGATGACATAGGCCTTCAAAACAAGGTGGTAGGAATGTAACTAGGGTTATTTTACATAGTGATCTTCAAAAGACTTGCTCAGATCTCTGGACACAAACATGCAAAATAGATCCAATCCTATGAATGTTAAGTGCTTTGTTCTAAGAACTAATAGAAATGGTAGCACAATCATCTTAGCTATCTTGTGTGTTTATACAAATGTAGATTTTTTTCCCTTCCTTTTCCCTAAGATATTATTTTTTTCCTCTTTGAGCAGATTTTTGCCTTTTCACAGTATTTATTGAAGATTTTGTATCTTATGAACTCTTACCATTTCTTACACTAGGGAGACAATATGGTATTTACACATGTGAGTTTGATTTATTTCACTTATGAGTATGATCTCAAGTTGCATACACTTACCTATAAAAATCTCAATGTGATCATTCTTTATAGCTGAGTAGTACTCACTGTGTAAAATTATCACATGTTTTTCACCCATTTTTCAGTTGATGAGCATTTAGGTTGTTTCCAAGATCTGACTGTTACAAATTGTACTGCTATAAACATGGATGCACATATATCATTGTGATACATTTTCAATTCTTCTGGGAATATACCTAGAAGTGGAATAGCTGGGTTAAATGGGACTTCCAATCCCAGTTTTTTGAGGAACCTCCAGACTGTCCTCCACAAAGGTTGTACCAGTCTACACTCCCACCAACTGTGCAGGAGAGTACCTTTTTCCCCACAGCCTCTCCAGCATTGGTTGTTGTTGGTTTTCTTGATCCTGGCCATTCTTTTTGGAGTGAGATGGAGTCTCAGTGTGGTTTTAATTTGCATTTCTCTAATGACCAATGATGATGAACATACATGAAATACACTTCATAAATACATGAAGTACACGTCCTCAGGTATTTATTTGCCATTTGTATTTCTTCATCTGAGAAGTGTGTATTCATTTCAGATGTCGATTTTTGGATTGGATCTTTGAATCTAATTTTATAAAATTCTTTATACGTTCTAGACAGAAGTCCATTGTCTGAGGGACAGTTGACTAAGATTTTTTCAAAATTCATGAGTTTCCTTTTTATTCTGTGGGAGATTTCTTTTGACATGCAAAACCTGTTTAATAAGACAAGATCCCAGTTACTGATTCTAGGAAGTATTTTCTGTGTGGTTTGATTTTTGTTCATGAATTCTCTGCCTACCCCTATGTATACATTTTCTTCTAGCAGAGTTAGTGTTTCTATTTTAATATTTAGATCTTTGATCCATTTTGACTTTAGTGCATGGTGATAAGTATGGGTCTAGTTTTAGTTTTCAGCATATGGAGAGCCAGTTTTCCCAGCACCACTTACTAAAGAGACTATTTTTCTTCCAGTGGACATGTTTGGCTCCTTTTCGAAAGTAAACACCTGTTTTTCTTCTTGGCCCAGCCACAGGACCTCTTTCTCCATGAAGTCTTCCTTGCTTAAATCAAAAGACAAAGCCAGGTGATCCGGCCAGCCGAGCTTCTCTCTTTCAGTCTCCCTAAAGGGGAGACTGAGGCTTCCATAGGGCAGTGCTGGCGAACCTTTTAGAGCATTCAGTGACACAAGCAGCCTGCTGTGGCACAGGTGCTGCTGTACAGGGTCAGGCCTCTGCTAAGGTACAGACTCAACCCTTCTTCCTTTCTGGTTTTCTGGTTGGGATCTGCTCCTCTTTGCTTGAGGCCCCGTCCCCTCCCCTCCCACCTCTGCTCCCAATGCCTCCGCTGGGTGGAGGTGGGTTCCTTAGTTTGGTTACCTGCTGTCAGAGCCACCCGTGAGGTGTCAGCAGATAGGTCTTGCTTCTGCCAGGAACGCCTTGTTCCCAGCCACTGCCCTGGGCCCTGGGGCAAGAGTCCCCACACCCTGCTCTCAAAGGCTCGCGGTCCTCCTCCTCATTCTGTTTGCTCAGTTTGGGCAGGACCGGGACGGTGAGAACCCTGGAGACCTGCAGGGACCAGGCTGGCACTGACCTTCCAGCCCCGCCCCCACCCTGCGTTCTGCCCTGACCCGCCGGGAGGGAGCGCGGAACTGCCTGCCGGCCCCAGAATAGCCAGGACCCCCACTCCTTAGGACCCCCCCCCCCCTCCTTATCGCTGGCTCCCACCTGCCAGCCTGGCCTGATCGGGAGGGAAAAGGCTGGGCCGCGGCCAGGGTGGCTGCTTAATGACCCTACCGGGGCCTAATCTCAAACTGGCAGCCGTTGAGTGGCTCAGGCTCCATCCTGGAGGAGGCAGATAACGCACCAGCTGGGCCCCCACCATCTACGGGCAGCACGACCAGTCCCCAGGGGGTCTCAGCTGGGGGAGGGCTGCAGAAGCGTTTCCACCCCGGCCTGGGGGAGGGCGGGGTCCGGGGCTGGCTGCAAGTGTGCTCCGCGCCATTTCCTGCTGTCTCCCAGGCTTTCAGGTGCCGCTGCAGGACCCTGTCTCTGGTCCCATCTCTTCTTTGTCTCTCTTCATTTGTGTCCAGTGTCTTCCTTCCCGGGGAGCTCAGTGCCCGGAGTCTCTCTCCCCCTGTATTTCTTCACAATTACGTGCTGGTTCTCCCGTTGCCCCGCCTCCATCCCAAACTGCCTGAATGCCACTCTCCTTGGCCTGCAAGTCCCTGACTCACTGGAGTCTCACTCCCTGACGCATGATCCTTTCCACTTGCTCTGTGCCAGAAAGCGAAGGTACCTTCTGTTTGCTGAAAAAGACCTTGCCGCTTTCTTTCTCCCCTGCTACCCAAAACGTGAATTTCACAGGCTAACATTCCAGGTTACCACCAAACTCACGCAAAAGGGAAGCCTCCGCCCAGGCCCTGCAGAGGAGGAGGGACATGCAGCACTGCTGACTTCAGTTAGATTTCTTACTGTTATGTTTAGTTTATTTTTTTTTTTTGTAGTTCTGTATTATGTGTAACCTTACACTGCTTTGTCTTGTTTTGTGTTTTTCTCTTTTTCCTCTTAAATAAAAAAAAAAAAAAAAAAAAGAAAAGGAACGTCCAGCCTGGAGCTAGCTTTGACAGCCATCATAGAGGTCTCGCTCCAGATCCCACTGTTGTACGAGACTGCCAGGTGCTCAGGATGAGTTGCACGATGCCTTCCCAGGTACTCAGGGTAATATGAGCAGAAACACTACATCAGCTGCTATGTACTTCAGCTTCAGGACCACCGCAGGGAAGAGGGCATGGGGTGGGGTCAACGCGCAGCTTCGATGTTTCCTTGGGCCATCCTCACTTGATAGTCAGCCATCAGAGCTTCCTCTGGGGTTAGAGTGGGCAGCACCTGCTTCCTGTGCAGATCTTGGTGTGGGGTGGTCTGAACTCCCCAGCTCACCTCTTTTCCCTTTTCAGTCCCTGGAAATGTGCACAGTAGTGGTCAAAAGCTTAAGCCTGGGAATCACACAGATGCCGGTTCCAATTCCAGGTCTGCTTCTCAGTGCTCTGGGACCCCTTTTCAGGGAGTCGCAGATTTTCAGGTCCTCTGCTCCCTTTACTGGTAACATTGGCTCGATAGCAGCTGTTTATGGAGAACTGTTGGGGGAAAGAAACAACATGTGTTATTATTGCAACGCAGACTTGCCAGGAAGCAAGTGACCTATGGTCAGCTTAGGTGTCCAGCCTCTGCACCCACCCCAGCCAACTCATGGCCCCATGTGCTCACTTGTGGTGTCCAGCTCTGGCTCCAGATCTGGGAGCCCCTCAGAGGCAGGAAAGGGCTCACACCCGATTGTGCAGCATCAGTATTCAGAATGGAGAGAGGAAGAGGAGGCCGGGGAGGGGTAAAGTGAGACAAAGGAAGAGGATTAAAGTCTAGTAGACTGTCCACCTGTGTCTATCCATAGCCCTCTGACCTTCAAGAGCACAGACACACATGTGCATACATGCACACATACACACAGGTATGCAGATGCCATTTCTGGATGAAGGTCCTGGGGATTTCCCGAACCTTGTCAGTAGTCTGTTTGGATTTGAGTTTCAGGAGCTGCTCTCCCTCTCTGCCTGTGGGCTCGGCTGCCATCTGGTGGCTACACGTAGTATAGGCGGGGCAGGGTCAAGCCTTTGAATTTGAGCTGGAGGCCTGCTCTTCAGTGCAGAGATCAGATGTCTTTCCACCATAGTTCACCGACCCCTTCAAGTTGTGCCAACACGCACTAGGTCTTTCTGTGGGCCTTGAGGGCATGTGGGATTAGGCATCTTAGTCCTCATGCTGCACTGCCTTTCTCAGAAAGGGTCTGAAGCCCAATAGCTTCTGCCCGTGGTCTGTTTTTTTTAACAAATAGACCCCTTTCTAGGACTTTGTTCTCTCTAGACACTGGCCTCTTGGAGAAGCAGAGTAGGAAGAGCTTGGGGTGGGGAGAGGGGATGAGAAAGGAGAGAAGACCCAGAGTGAACCCCAGCATCTGTCCCAAGCAGGTTAAAAGATGGTGTAGCCGAGTATATTTTATGGAGTGGTGCCTATGCCTCCCTCCACTGACCAGGCCCTGCTGCCTGGTTTGGGCCCGTGTCACCAGGGGGGGGGGAGTTTGTGTTTTTGATTTTCATGAAGGCATCATGGAAGTCAACAAATGACACCAAGAAGATGGTAGTGTGTGTGGAATGAGGCTCTACATGTGGCTACTGAGAGATCTGAGCTGGCAGAGGAACATGGACAAGGGAAGGACTTGGAGGGGCAGCGGGAAGTGCAGCTGAGGTCTGAGGCTCAGGGAAGCCAGGGATTGCACCTTAGTGTTGAGTGCTCCCTGAGTGTTTAAGAGCCCTGGTCTGGGTCAGGTATCCTGGCCACAGCACAGCTCTGACACTGACAACGTGTGAGTGTGCACAATCAGACCCCACTCAGCCCCTTTGTACTGTACCCTTGGGTCAGTAATCGGGTCTATATAATAAGCAATATTAAAGGAAACAGTTTACCTAAAGCACACAAAATATCCCCTGCTCCCAATGCACACTCTTTTTTTTTTTTAAAAGATCATCACTATGATTATTATTTCAGATTGTGTGAATTAGATACATGACCACAGTGTCAGCAAGATCAGAACAAGATTTAGTCGAATTTACTATGATCCTGTGGACTCCAGGGACAGTACCAGCCCAAGGTCCCGTGATGAGGGGTGTGAGGAGCAGGCTGAAAGCCCATGGGGCTGGTGGTATGGGATGTGCTGGGCCCACTTGCCCTCTTGCATTTCTTGAAGCTTCAGAGTGCTGGAGCTGGCTATGCCCATTCGTTCTGCATCACTGAGGCTGGTACAGATCTGAACCTGACTTCGTAAATGAATAATGAGGCCTTTGGCCTGTTGTGGCCATGGGCTTGGAGGCACAGGGAGTGGGTGTTGAGGATGGGCACTGGCATGTGGGGACAGGGTCAGGGAGGGCAGTGAAGGAGGGATAGACTGGTAGAGGGTGACATCCTGGCTTCCAGGACCAATGAGCTGGAACAGAAGGCTGGGAAGGGCTGTCCTCGACTACAGATCTTGAGATGGAGGGTGACAGGGGCCCTGTGTGGGATGCAAGTTGCTTTTTCACTGGGGCCTCACAGTGATTCTACTGGGCGAGTTTTCTTTTTTTTTAAGAGAAGGAAATACAAACTCAGAGAAGAAGGCACCTTCTCAGAGTCACACAGCCAGTAGTGACACTGAATCCTGTTTTTTTGACATTGCTAACTCTGCCCCAGCATGGAGTTCTCTTTGGGTGCCTGGGCATGAAAGCTGCCATGTGGGGGCTAAAGACAGCAAAGTAGCCCCATGCAGAGCAGCTAGGAAGTTTGTGGGGTCTCTGCAAGGATCTGAGAGGAGGGGTCCACATCTGTGGTTTCCACTTCTATGCTTCCCTGTGGCCAGCAGGCCTGTAGCTGATTTCCGCTGCAGCGTCCACCGGGACTGCTCTCAGTGAGGACTCTCCTGCCCTGGCCTCCTGTTGCAAGAGGACAGCAGCTCTGTGCACAGTGCGATGAGAAGATGGCTGCTTCTCTGGGAGGCTCTTCCTGACCCTGCGCCTGCAGTGCCTCAGGCTCCCCAGGCCACAGAGACTCTCCCTGGTTGTGGTGTTGCTCTCCCTGGCCCAGGCTATAACCTCGGCGACACAGTTCTCCCGGCAGAGGCCATGCCTGCCAGCTGGAGTTCTTTTCACCCCCCTCTCCTCCCCTTTGTGCTGTTGTATTAACTCAGTCCTTCATCTGTTGTTTTCTTTTTGCCAATCTCGCCTCTTTCAGGACTGCTGTTTGAAACTGCTTTTTGCCCTACGTGCATCAGGTGTGCTGTGCTCTGGTCTGTGAGGTGCTGGGGGGCACAACTTTCCTAGAAACACAGGCCCATAGAGCGAGTGTTCGTTGAATGAATACAGGTGTGTTACCCAGTTCCAGCTCAGCTACTCATGTTAGCTGCTTAATCTTTGGCAAATGACTTAGACTTCTTGGTTCTTAGTTTATATAACCCTAAGTGAACCTCCAAACAAGCACATGCTTCCTATTTGTAGTGAATATCTGTTGCATGATACCTAGCATGCTGTGGACCCAGGGCTGCCATATACTGTTCCTGTCATTAGCGGTTGCTCACCTTGTACTTAGCAGTGTTACCTGACCCAGCTGAGGGAATTAAAATTTGTGTTACTGAATCTCAAAGTCCCTTCGTTGCTAGGGGAGGTCTAGACTTAGGGATATAGCTGCAGCCAGAGATGCAGGGGCTCCCATTTTCCTGGAGAGTAGTTTTGACCTCCTCTTCCCTGAAGCCCCCTAAGGCTCTAGGTCCTCTTTTTTCCTACCCCAGTTCCTGACATCCAGGCTGGGGCTGGATTAGGGCTGGTTTCTGGCCACTTTCCTTGGATCTGTGTGTTCTGACACGGCCTCTGTTGAGGTCCTGTACGGTGTGTGTGTGTGTTTGGGGGTGTCTCTGTGTGTATTCCAGTTTGCCTTGAGTCCACTTTCCAAAATCTTGTTCACAAAATACACTTTCCCTTTGCCAAATAGAATGTTCATAAAAATACAGTGAGGGTTTACACTGAAAGTTTATTATAATAAAAGACATTGCCCTTATTTCCCAGTGAACACACAGATCCTGTTCTTGCCACAATCTGAAGCGGTTTTGGAACTTTTCTTTCATGTCTTTTATTGTGTTGTCATGCCTGCCTCGATGTCCTGAACTGTTTCAAAATGTTTAGCTTTCAGGGGCTGCGGATTTAGCTCAGCGGCATAAGTACCTGCCTTGCAAGCAGGCGGTAGTGAGTTCAATCCCCGGTACCGATGAAAAAAAATGTTTAGCTTTCATGGTCATTTTGACTTTGGGGGAGTCAGAAAGGGGCAAGAATGGTGGGATAAGTGAAAAATTAATGGCAGTGTGTCTTTCATTGTAATAAATTCTTAAAGTTTAAGCATTCACGTTACGTTTCAGTTACACTGCGTGCCCGTTCTTGTTCCACTTGCCTCTATTACTTGCAGTATATTGAACGGCCACCAGATGGCACAGCTTATACACCTGAGCATCAAAGAGGACCGAGCCCAGGCTGGCAGTCTGTGGAGTGGCCACTGGTGGGATCACTGGAAAGGTGAGAGTGCGGATATAATGGATAAACTCTGATGTTTCTTTTTTGATTTTTTTATCCAGTTGATCTATTTGCAGTAGTGAGATATTGAGGTCCCCTGTTACAATTGTGAATGCTTATCTGATTGTTTATATCAGTTAGTGTTTGCTTTATATAGCTTAGTTATCAAATGGCTCCCAGCCCAAGCATCCCCCTACTCGAACAGAAAAATATGAAAAAAATCTGATAGGTGTTCACAACTTTGTTCTATACTCTAGCCAAAAATTTGATTTGAAAAACCGGTGTGGGCTGAGAGTGAGTCACCTCTCCTGTCTCACTGTGCACACAAAAGGGTGATGCTTTAGTCTAGTGCTCTAGACTAGATATGTTGCTTGTACTAGTTTGTTAAAACATTCATCATGGTGCTTTTTGGGTGCTTTATTTGCAAAAAATATTGTGAGTATGGCTCCAAAGAAAGTTGGTGATATCAGCAGTAAAGCTAAGAGTAAAAGAGAACCATGACAAATCTACTCAAGTCCTGGAAAAATGAATTTATAAGTATAATATTTGGACCTCAGTACCAATTATTTGGCTTTACATCATTTCTTGCGGGAAAAATATGTTCTGTCAGTTTTCAAACTTTTTCATGTTTGTACATGAATTTGGAATAAATTGTGTTTGGTAACCAAGCTATCACTGTAGTTGGGTTCTCTGATATTTGGTTCATATGTGTTTTATTTTTTATTTTAAAGAGAATAAAACTTAACAAAATAAAACAGAATAAAGCCAGTCAAAGCAAAACAGTGAAAATGGTGTAGAACTTTGAAACAGAATAATAGGAAATCAACAATTGCTACCAATATATATTTCATTACTTTCACAAAAGTTGTTCATACCATTAGTAAAATCAAATAAAACAAAATACAATAAAATCAATCAAAAGAGAACATTAAATAAAATAAAACAATAAATTGGGACAAAACAAAACAGTGAGAGCAATATTGGATTTCAAAAACAAGATGGAAGGAAACCTACCATATTTTCTATATTTCATACTGTTATCCTCCTAATAGATGCTCAGGCTACTGACCTTAGTCTGTAAAATCAATCAAACAATACAAGCATTTAGTTGTTTTCATACCTCAGTTGCTTTCAGCTCAGTTTCTGACCCTCCAAATCAACCAGTTGCTTAAGGGGACTATGGAGTTCTTGTCTCCAAGCTGGTTGCTTATGGGGGTGGGGTGGGGGAGTGGAGTGCTTGATCCTCATTCTGCACACCAGTCAGCTCCCAGGAAGGGTGAACTGGCTTCTCTCTTCATGGGCATTGCATGGTTTGCATGGCTTATGGGAAAGGCAAATTGGATTCTTGTTGTGCTCCTCCTAGACCCAGCATGGCTTTTACTGATTCATGGGAAGGGTGAACTGGTTTTTCTCTTCCTTGGCCCTGCGTAATTTGGCTGGTTCATGTAAATTTATGATTGTTAACAATCCTCTTGAATTTTCCTTTAACAAGTAGCAATCTTGGCTTGAAATCCACTTTGTCTGAAAATTGAATAGCTACCCCTGATTTTTTAATCCTATTATATTGAGAATTGTTTTGCAATCTTTGACTTTGACTAAAACTCATTTCTTTTTGAATTAAATGTGTTTCTTGTATGTAGCATATTGGTGATGCTTGTTTCTTGATCTATTTTGTCAATTTGTTTCTTTTGATGGGAAAGTTGAGGTGATTTACATTGACGGTTATAACTGATAGGTATTGATTTATCCTTGTCATTATATTATTTTCCTTTTGTTGGTTCCCTTTCTTTCCCTTGTATTTAATTGCTTGCCTTGTCTGGTGGATTCATTTTATTAGGATTCTTGGAATTGCTGTCTTCATTGTCTTTTTCTAGAATGTCCTTCAGAACTTTTTGGAGTGCTGGTTTGGTGGTCATGAATTTCTTCATGAGCTTTATCATAGAAGTTTCTTATTTCTCCATCAATTTTGAAAGTACTTTGTGGGTACATAAATCAGAGGTTACTTTCTTTTAGGCTTGAAATACTTTGCTCCAATCTCTTGTTGACATAAGTGTTTGTGTTGAGAAGTCTGCTATAATTCTGATAAGGTTTCCTTTATAGGTGATTTGCTTCATTTTTCTGACAGCTTTTAGTATTCTGCTCTCATGTTGAATTTTTGGAATCTTGACTATTTATATGTCTTAGTCTAGTTATTTTTCTGTTCATGGCTATTTAGATTTCTATGTATCTTATCTATATGTTAAATTATTTTTCCATGCTTGGAAAATTATCTGTTACTTCTGTGAACAAGATTTTTACATGTTTTGTGCTATGTTTTTTTTGTTGTTGTTGTTGTTGACTCCAGTTAATCTTATATCATTCTTTTTTGTGTCACCTAACAGCTGTTGGATTGGTTTTTAATGACCCCTTGATAGTTTTAAGAAGTCTTTCATTTGATGATGACCAAACTCAACTCTGTCTTCTAGATCTAATATTCTGTCTTCACATTGGTTAATTCTGCTATGTATACTCAATGGAATGTTTAGTCTCCTGGATATCTATTTGAAGGACCCAGTTTTTTCTATGTTGGGAATTTATGGTTTCCATATCTTTTCTATGCTCCTCTGTTGAAAAGAAAATCCATATCTGCTCCAGTTTCACAAACCATTTTCTTTATTATGGTCTTCATCTCTTTATCTCTGTAGTTACTTCTGTTTTTGTTTTGTCAAGAGTTATTAATCAGTTTTGCTACTTTTGCTACTACCATTTCAGGAGATTAAACTGGGGGGATTCTGGTTTCTTCCACTTCAGTATCCCCTGGATTTGCTTTAGGCAAGTTGGGAGTGTTGTGTTGTATCTTGCTTTTGTGTTTTCTCAGTTTCTATTATTTAAATATTCTTTTTGTAATGAGGCTTATAAATTGCTTATGGTAGGTAACTTTATTACTAGTATTGAGTTCTCATAAATAATTGACTGTTTTTCCGAAATGTCTTTTAAGTGTAGCTGGCTTTTGGACTTTTAGTCTATCCCAGGATTCTGCCTCTTCATCTTTATTAGTGATGAAAGGTTGTACTCTGGCTTAGAATCCAATTCTTTGTACTGGTCTATAGAATTGGTTGTGACCCCAGACAATCTTAGCAAAGAAAGAAGATCAACTGAACCACAATAACTATATCACTATACAGTAAATATTCACTCAATAAAATAATTTTATACTAAAGTGGGGCAGCAAGGAGTCACATACATTTGGCCACAGAAATGTGAGATTCAGACCCACACAAACAGAAAAGAGCCACAAAATGATTTTAAAGAGATGAAAGTAAGTTTTTCATAAATGTACAGCAAATATTAGAATGGTCAATTAACATATTACCACACCATGAGGCAGGGGACAGCACCAAAGAAGAAGGGGAGTTCTCTTGAAGGATCTTGCATGAAACAGAGCCTTCAGCAAGCAAGAGAGAAAAAAATGCCAGGCCACATCCAGTTTTTTCAGTTTCTTGAATTTAGACAAAAGTGATTCAGTGCTAACAGGCCTGCATAGACAGAAGGAATTGTTCCCAGTCTTAGCTAAAGCCTGGGAATGGTCAATTTTTTTGGCTATCATCTCTACATATTCATTTCCCACGAGGTAGTTATTCTCCCTGAAGAAAGGCATGCAGCTGAGGTCATTTTATCAAACACACATATTCCAGATACCTATCATCATTTTAGCTCTTTCCCGTATATAAAGAGAGAAAATTTAAAAGGGAGAAGCAGGAAAAAAATAGAGGAATGAATGAAGAAAAAGAGATCAGAAGCAAGACTAAAGGACAGGGACTATTACCCAAGCTTCAGTAAATTGGTGAGGAAGACAAGAATGAAAGAAAGGAGGAGAGAACAAAGTCAAGAACAAAATAAAACAAAAAACTTTAAAAAAGTGTTCACACTTGCAAAAACAAAAACAATTAAAAAACCCAAACCAAACCAAAAAACCAAGTGAACAGCAGCAGTAACACCAACAAAAGACCAATACAAAGGAAAAGAGACACAAAGAGAGACAGAGACAGAGAGACAGAGAAATTTCTCTGTGACTTCAGGCCTGCGGTTATATTCTGGGGTTTACAGTTTTGTATCAGTGTTCAATTCAAGGCATGATTCTACTCTTGGTGGCAGACAAGGGAGCAGTCAGATCCCAGATCCCTGCTAGATAATCTTGACAAGCCAGCAGTGGGATTAGGCTGTGTGCTGGTTTGGAACTTTCAAATCCACAGAAATTCAGATGGAGCCTGGCCTCTTGTTGGGGGTGGGGTTTGAATCATTTAACTTATAACACTCTTGGTGTCTCTTGCTGGCCCGACCAAGGCTTCCCGATCATGCACATCTCCTATGGATGTCCTTCACACAGTCGCTGTGAGAGTTTAACACTGGAAGCCTGAGATGAAGGCAACCTGTGGCTGCTCTGAGTCCTGGGTTTGGTTGGCCTTTCCTTAATATGGCACCCAACAAGGCATTCTTCTCCAGGTGATATGGAAACGCTTGAACACTCATCAGCTTTTGTATTGGATGGCAACCATTGCTCCCTTCCAAATCCATGTTATTTTAAGGAGAAAAAGAAAGAGAAGAAAAAAAAAAACTAAAACAAAATTTCAAAACACATCAATCACAGGGCAGCAATGGTACACACATTGCACATTGTCATCCCCAAATCATTCACCCAGAGCACAAAACATCTGCATTCAATTGTCCAAACAATACCAGTACAATTCTTTCTCGTCAGTGAACTCAGAGAAATCAGTAGTGTAACTATCTTAACTATTTTTATTCGCATATACATATAAATATGTTGTTTCAGTTTCTCACACTAATGAGACAATATATTTACACATGTGTGTCTTACTTTTTTCACTAATGAGTATGATCTTGACTTGTATCCATTTATCTGTGTCTCCAGTTTATCCATGTCTATGACTGAGCAGTATTTCCTGCTTGTTTATTGACTTCAGTTAATCTTAAGTTATTCTTGTCTCATCTAGCAGCTGCTTGGTTGATTTATCATGGCTCCTCACTATTCTTGAAAAATGTTTCTTTTCTCAGTCACTAACCGCAAGCCTGTCTTCAGTATCTGAGATCCTTTCCTCACATTGGCCTCATCTGCTTCAAATACTTTCAATGGAGTTTTCATTCTCCTGGATATCTGCTTGAATGTGCTTTATGGATACCCATTTGTCTCCTATGCAGAGCTTCCATAGTCTTCTTAAGCTTGTCTATGTGTTTGTGTCTGCTTTAATGTCGCTAAACATGATGTGTATTTTGGTAATCTCTGTAGTTATCTGAGAGATAACTTCTGATTTCATTTTTTCCAAAGCCTCATTCTATTGCTTTGTTGTTTTCACTTCAGCGAGAAGTGAAAGCCCACCTGGTGGTGGGCTTTTGAATTGTCCCACCTCATTGCCCCTGAATTTGCCTTTTGCAAACTGGATGTCTGAGGTTATATTTTGCTTAAGTATCTTCTCATTTTATTTTCTCTTTTTAAGTTTAATTCCTGGAGTGATGCTTGTAAGTTGGCTATGGTGGACTGCTTTATTGGTAGTATTTAGGACATTTAGGTGATGATTACTTCATGAGGTATCTGCCAGGTGTAGCTGGTTTTTGGGTTTTGAGTCTGTTGGAAGATCTTACCTCTTCAGTTTGTTGAAGATGAGAAGTTGTTAGCCTATTTGGCATTGTACCACTGTATTTTCTATGACCCTTAATTAATTACAGTCATGGAATGCCAGCACCAATAGCTTGTTAGAGGAATTATGTCAGTTTTGGCTATAGTGGTACCAATAGCATCAAACACATCCTAGAAATTAACAAATTGAGCTAACGCTTAATTTGAAATTTTTAACCTTATGAACTAGACTTGTGATTATATAACAAAATGTAAAACAAACCAGATAATTATATGCAATATGTAAGTCCATAAATGTCAATTTTTCCCTTGAGTGTTTAAATTTAAAATGAATTAAGGAGAAAATAGAGAAGTGGAAGAAGAGAAAGAGATTATAAGTAAAGTTGGTAGACAAAAGGGAATCACACCAACCTGGGGAAACTGGCTCAGAGGACTGAGGGAAAAGAGAGATGGAAGAAATAAAAGAAAGAACAGAACAGAACAGAACAGCACAGAATCACATCTACAAAGGAAACCACTTTCACACTCATATAAAAACAGTGAAAGAGAAAGAGAAGAAAGTGAAAAAGAAAAAGAAAAACAAATAATCTATTCTCAGGTTTTTCTCTGGGTTCACTAGTAGACAACCTGTGGAGAAAAAATCCCGAATTGTGCAGGTCTATCCCAGCAAACCAGCAGTTGCTTTATGGTAGAATAGTGGGTAATCTCAGCAGGCTTGCACTGTGACTACACTCATTGGGCTTGCTGCACCCCAAGCAATTTCCATGGGGCTGCACCCAGCTGAGAGCTGCTAGAGGCAGCCAGTAGCAATTCTGGGTTCTAGGCTTATCCAACCCTTCTCCAAAATGGCTCCCAGTTAATTGCTCTCTCTCCTCATAGGAGAGGACTAAGCCCTCTGTACTCACCACCAGCCAGGGCAATCCTCCATATCCGTTGCTCCCTTCCTCTACTGCGTCTCTCTGCAGGGTCACGAGCTGACACCCTCACTATGACTGTGCATCCCCAGGTTTGAACAGCTCCTCTCATGCAGTGAGTCCTGTCTCAGGGTGAAAGTGCCACCAGCTATCACCTTCCTCTTTGAAGGCTTTCTTTTTACTCTCTCTGTGGCCTTTAATTCATACTTCAGATTCTTTCTAGGTCCAGGGGATCCACTTCCTTCCTTCTGGTCTTCCTCATGATGCTATATATTCCAGCACCTAAAATTATTGCTTTTTATTACTGTAGCTACAAAAGGGCAGGAGGACCTGGATGCACCCTGAGGCATTTGGACTTTCCAGACCTCTCTGGAATTGTGTTTTAAATTTCATTTTATAGCTATGCATTACTAATACAGGTGCTCCTTGACTTATGATGGCACAATGTTTTGATAAACTCATCATAAATCAAAAAATCCTAAGCTTAACTATTACAATGTTATTGAACCTGGGGTTCTGGGGTTTCCTTTTAGAGGTGGTTTTTGGGTTCTTTCTATCCTAAACAAAGAAGTGATCAAGAACAGTGCAGATGTAGCAAGGTTTTACATTTATTAAAGGTAGGCAAAGAAACACTGTTTTCAGAGTGAGTGGTGCCAGTTAGAAATAAGAAAAAAAGGATGCTCTACAGGATGAGACTGGACTGTGATGCAAGAGAGAACATAGTGACTCCAAACTCAGAGACGAGTGTCTGTGTCTTCCACTCTTCGGGCTGATGTCAGATTTAGGACATCCTATCAAAAACCTGCTCAAGTTCTTGTGAGAAGACTTGAAGGTAACACTCTCTAATTGGTTCTATATACAAGGAAATATCTGCATGTGCCCTGGAACTTTGTAACTAACAGGTCATGCCCACTTACCCAGCCAGTTTGCCATGCCCTAATTTCCTGGCACAATGAGACAGGGACCATCTATATATATGTATATCTATATATACAAGTATAACTAGTTTTTGTGTTTTTACCTTTATGTTAGGTGTCCCAAGACCACACTCAAGTTTAATGATTCACTGGAAGGACTTACAGAATTTAGAACAGTAATATTCATGGTTATACTTTATTATCATGAAATGATATAGGTTAAAATAACCAAAGGAAAAGTACACAGTGTATAAGGTGGGGTCCTGCAGAGACCAGGGGTGTGATTCCAGTTGACAGCTCCCTGTGCAGTTATATGAACAGTTCTTAATTTTCTCAGCAGTAATATTTGACAACACATACAAAGCGTGGCCAGGGCAGAGAAGATCATCTGAAACTTGTGTCTCAGAGAGTTTTTTTTAAACCAGCATTAGCCATGTCAGCATAGAGTGTTTACAGGTATATTTATTGTTAGATTAAAATCTTGGACACATATCATTTCCCAAAAACATAAGAGGATTGTCAAAGAAACACTAGTGAAAATCATGCTCCTCACCTTAAACATCTCAGGGCTAAAATATCCGCTATTCAACCAAGCAACCATGTTTCTTGCATTTAGCAGGGAAGCAATTAATCAGTGACACAGAAATGGCTTCACATAGCAACTTCCTAAATTTTCCGTTTGGATCAAACATAGATCTGTGAGGATTCAAGCAGCCCTGCAAGGCCTGTGACAGCAGGTTCTGAAGATTCCAAGGTTTGGACCTTCCTTCTCGATATGTGAGATACAAAATCTCCTGTCTTGTTATATTTTATATTTTGAAACACAGGCATATTTTAAATATTTTGAAGTCATTTATTTACTAATAAGCTCTCTGCCAAGATTTCACTTCAGGTTAAAATTAAACTCAGTGTTTATATTTCTCTACTGAGGTTGCTACCTCAGTGTGTTAAATAAAAACCTCCTCCAGCTATCAGTCTGACCGGTATCTATGTGGGTCAGTGCCAGCGGGTCAGGCTCTTTGTTTTCTAAGTGAATCAGTGAGATGGTAATACTGTTCTATTATAGGTTATTAAAGGTGCTAATTCGCCTATTCACCTGCCCTCTCGGTAAGCGTCTGCAACGCGGGCCAGGAGGAGAACAGAACTCCAGAGTTCCTGCCATGGAGGGACTCAGGCAGCTTATTCACCTGCCCTCTTGATAAGCGCCTGCAGCTTGGGCCTGGAGGAGAGCCATTACCTGTGAGCCAACTTCCACGAGAGCTGAAAATCAAGCACCCTTCCCCACCTGCCCCCTCCCTCCTTACCTACTGGGGATAGACATTTCAACATCTCTTGGGAAGATGGCCATATGCAGTATAGCAAATATGGGGGATTTCCTTCTCTCTTCTGTTTAAAGGCATAGGTTGTTTTCACTTTTTGTTATATTTCTTTTGCTCTATTCAGTATTCTCAATTGGTTTTACAATGTTCTATTTTTTATTTGATTTTACAATACATAATTGACTGGATAGCTATTGTTAATTAAAGAGATATACCATAGTACTTAGTACTACTATCCCAGTATCCTACTGTGAAATCCTGTACCAATTTCACTGCATTGTCTCAATTGGCTTTGTTCTGTCTTGTGCTGTTGCATATTTGCTACTTTCAAAATTAAAAAAAAAATACACGTTAAAACCTATTCATGTGTAGAATCTATAAACAGTTTATGAGAACTGATCTTATGACAATTGACAAAATGAACAGATACTTTGAAGAAAAGGAGACATTAAAATACCCAGTGCTGATCCTGGAGTGTCATAATGTGAAACCCAGCAATAGTGTTATTCTTTGTTCAGAGTGATATTAGCCTGGAGTGTCATAATGTGAAACCCAGCAATAGTGTTATTCTTTGTTCAGAGTGATATTAGCCTGCTTGGGTTTATTGAAAGTCAAAATAATTGAAGATATGGGTAACTGCATATATGTTTAAGTGTAGAGGATTGATAACCATATTTCTAAGTTTTTGTTGGATAGCTGAACAGAACTGGTTGCAATCTCACTGTTTGAATCCCCACTTTATATGCTCCAATTTAGTATCTTGAATAACTATTTGTAAGAAGACAATCTGTAATCATCAACTAGTGGTTTCTTACTGTTGATTTTTCTTTGAAAGTATGTATTATTACTACCTGTTTTCTGTTTTTTTAGTCTTTCTTTAAATTCAGTTTTAAAAAGAAGACACTACAGTACCCAGTGCTGATCATGGAGTGTAATGATGTGAAAGCCAGCAATACTATTATTCTTTGTTCAAAATGATTTTAACCTGCTTTAGTTTGTTTAATCTAAACATAAATGAAGATATGGATAACTGCATGTATGTTTAAATGTATAGGATTGACAACCATGTTACTAAGTTTTTGTTGATTAGACAGTTGATTAGAACTTTTTGCAGTCTCTCTGTTTGAATTCCCACTTTACATGTTCCATTTTTGTACCTTGAACAACTATTTGTAAAACGACAAATTCAACCAGTGATTTCTTACTCTTTTTTTTTCCTCTGAATGTATGTACTATTTCTACCTATTTTCTGTTTTGTTTAATCTTTCTTTAAATTAAAAAAAAAGAAAAAAAAGATGCTAATTCAAATTTATTGGAAAAGGAGGGAAACTTCTGCAAAGATCATTTTTTTAAAAAAGAGATACCTTTTGTTTCTGAAAAGAAATCACTGAATCCTCTAGGAATAATAAAAAGGAGTAGTTTTCAGTTAAACACATAATGTGGAGTGATGAACTCAGCTGCTGCTCATCTGGGTTGGGCTGTTAACACTCTTCTTGTTCCTCCTGCTGGCCCTCTTTATGGAGTGCCACCAAGCTTTCATCAGTGCCTAGAGAATGCCTACAATCTTCTGCAATAGAGTTGTTTCCCCTTCATCCTCTTGGCAAATCAGAATCAGAAGAAGTCTTACTCTTTGTCTTTCAGTATGCTGACTTGCTGCATGCCCACAGCAACACTATTTGCAGCACTTCAGGCCAAGCTCAGGAGCTGCAGTAGTCCTGTGTTGGAGTGGGTCTGTGTGGATCTGCACTGTGAGGGCTGAGAGGTTATCTTTGATTTGTTTCAATCTGGAGCAACAAGGACAAGGAACCATTGCAGCTTTCTGACCTTGTCTGACAGCTATGTCTTTTCTATCATAGTTTGCATCAGAAATTTTTTTAGTGTTTTTTTCTTTCAGTGTTCTTTTGATAACTATAACTATTTATTGTGGGATAATTTCCAATTTATAGAAAAATTGCAGAAATAGCACATATATCTCCTTTACTTCCTATATCTGGAGTCACCTCTTGATTATACTTTGCCTTATTTGCTTCATTTTTATTCATTCATTTGTTCTCCTCTCTTTCCCCTTCTCATTGTTTTTTAAAAAAATTTTATTTTAAACAGAAAAAAGTAAAAAATAATAAAACAGAGTTTCAAAACAGGCTGGTAGGAGAGTAATAATAATTAACACATTGTATATTGTTATATTTGTAGTAGTTGTTCAAAATACAAAATATTGGCATGAAATATTTTCCAAAAATATTAGCACAAATTTTCTTTTCAGTGAATTAAAGAGGAACTAGCTATATGACTATCTTAACTATCTTGTACATGTATATATGTATTTTTATTTTTCCTTCCTTTTTATCCCTTCCTTTTTATCCCACAGTTTTTCTTTTCTTTTGAATAGTTTTGTTCCCCAATTCACAGTATCTGTTGTACATTTTGGATCTTATTTACTCATTCAATTTCTCCCATTAGCGAGACAATATGATATTTACACATGTGGGCCTGATTTAGTTCACTTATGAGTATGGTTTCAGTTGCATTCATTTACCTATAAAAGTTTCAAGTTTATCTTTCTTTATGGCTGAGTAGGATTCCATTACATAAAAAGACTGCATCTTGTTTTATCAATTCCTCAGTTGACAGGCATTTGGCTTGTTTCCATTATTTAGTTATTACAAATGGGGATGCTATTAACATGGGTTCACATATATCATTGTGGTATGATGTTTTTAATCCTTCTGGGAAGATACCCAAAAAGGGAATAGCTGGATTGAAGGGACATCTAATCCTAGTTTTTAAAGAAATCTCCACACTGATTTTCACAGTGGTTGCACCAGTCTGCTTTCCCACTAACAGTGAGGAAGGTTTACTTTTTTTTTATTTAAAGAAAGACAAAACAAAATAGAAAACAGGCAGAAATAGTACATACTTTCAAAGAAAAGAAATAAACAGTAATAAATCACTAGTTGATGTATACATATTGTCCCCCCACAAATAGTTGTTTAAGATACACAAATGGAACATATAAAAAGGAATTTAACCAGGGAGTCTGCAAACAGTTCCGTTCAACTATCCAGCAAAAACTAAGTATTAATAGGCTATCAATCCTATACACTTAGACATGTATGCATTTATCCATATCTTCATTTATGTTGAGACCTAACAAAATTTATTAGATTAAAATCCTTCTGAACAAAGATTAATAATATTGCTGGATTTCACATCCTAACATTCCAGAATCAGCACTGGGTACTACAGGGCCCCTTTCTTTCCTTCAAAATATTTGTTCATTTCATCATGTGTCATAAGATCAGTTCTCATAAACTGTTTATAGATTTTACGCAAACATGAGTCTTAACATGTATTTCTATTCTTTCTACATTAGAGGGAGAAACAGAACAAAGCAGGACAGAACTAAACTTTTTCCTATAGACACATAAAACTAAAAAGACATATAAATCTGCTGCATAAGGAGTTCTACCATGGTCACTGTGCTGTTTCTTGTTATCATCAACAGAATTGGCCATATCATCAGATAAAGTATAACTGAACATGTCAGTACATAACAGGATTAACAGAAATACAACTTTGTAGATAGTATAGAGCTACAAAAACAGGTAATAATCAAATCAGAATGGATATCAGGATGAATCATTGTCATTTTCAGTATAGTTGTCTATACTCCTAAACTTGATACCAGCAACCTAACAGTTTTGAATAAAATCTGTCAATAATAGGCAGCACTCAAACAACTCAGATTTAACTAAGATTAGTCATGATACAACAGTATAAGTCATACAAGGATCCTGATTGAGTTAATAGGAAATTAAAGATGACCACTGTGCTATGTCCTGATATCTTTGGGACAGCTGTCTGTGCCCCTCAGATCTAGTGCTTGTATATGAACTAGGACGGAACAAGTTCCAACCAAGCAGAGTCATGCGAGTAACAGAGGTTTTAATTCCTGATACACTATTAGCTATATCCTCTGCTGTTTTTTTTTTTTTGAAGACTATTCCTTCCCTTTACTCCCCCAGAATGAACTGTGTATTTTTGGGTCTCTTCAACATTCACAGTTTTGTATTGGGGGGGCAACCTGCTATTTACCTAAGTGTTTCTGAACTTTCTCACTCCTGGGCTGGATTTCTAGTCATATTTTTTCATTTATTAAAGCCTGTCTGTGCAACCTATCCATAAATACTGGTCTAGTTACCCCTATTACTCTCTGGTTCCCTATCACATTGAGTTCTCTTTTCTCATGTTTGATTTTGGTCCATATAACCTTCTTTAGGCTAACTATATTTCCTATAAGGAGCCTCTCGGTGGACCCTACCTCTTGATCCACTCTGCCTGCGATTCTCTCTTTTTTCCATTAAGTTAGTGTATCTAGGCCATCTATATTAGAAATTATATTCAACCTTCTTTGTCTCATTTCTTTTGAGCTCTTTTTCTGTCATTAGTTGTCTGTCTTCTTTATTTCACTTTCTGCTCCATTCATTGTGGCCTCTCTGCCACTGTTTCCGGAATCCTGGTACTTTTCTCTTTTAGAATGTCCTGTAGTATTCTCTGTAGAGTTGTATTTGTGGTTGTGAATTCCCCAGTTCCTCTTTATCTTGTAAGCACCTTGTTTCTCCATTAATTTCTAGGGACAGTTGTGCAGGATATATCAATCTTGGCTGGAGGTTATTGTCTTTCAAAGCTTAGATTATTTCGCCCCACACTCTTTGAGATTTGATGGTTTGTGTCAAGAAGTCTGCTGTGATTCTGATGGATGTTCCCTTGTAAGTGATCTGCTTCTTATCTCTGACAGCTTTTAGTATTCTGTTCTTATATTGGATTTCTGGAATCTTGATTATTATATGCCTGGGTGTAGTTCTGTTTTGATTATAGGTGGCTGGAGTTCTGCATGCCTCATACCTTTGAGCATCTTTACCTTTTCCTATGTTTGGGAAGTTTTTCTTGATTATTTCTGTGAATAGCCTTTGCAGTTCCTTTGTTAGTACCCCTGCTTTTTCATTTACATTCTTTATTCTTAAGTTATAGATCCTTTTGTCATTTTCTAGCCTTTGTATTTTACTACTTGTTTTCTTGTTATTTAAAAGAAGTTTTTCCTTTCATATTCCCACATTACAAACCTGTTCTCCAGTTCAGATTATCTATCCTTAATTTCTTTCAAGCTGTTTTGCCAGCTTTCAAAAATTTTTTAATTTCCTGGTAATCTCTTTGAACGTTCTTCATGTGTTCTATGTTTTCTCTATTTTCTCCATCAAACAATTCTCCCCCTTTTTTTGTTCTTCCATTCTACCATCTGTTTTTTCTTTGGAGGTGCTTAGCATTTCTTTACTATTCTTCTTATATCTTGCTTTACTTGGTTAAATACTTCACTTTTGAACTTGTCTATGAGTTCCTGAAGATCTCGCTTTATGTCTATTGGTGCCATGCCTGAAATCGCATGTTTTCTGTCCTCATTCTCCTTTGCATTTACCTTTCCTGGATCAGTGTTCTCAGGATTGGGGACTGAGGACCCTTTCTTATTGCCTCCTCTTCTCATATTTTTTGTTTCTTCCATACAGGTGTATATAGGAGGCCCAGTTTCTTTCTTTGTCAGTTTCAGTTTGTCTGAAGCATGCTGACTAGGTGGTCCCACCCACTGCAGTGTACTAGGAGGTACAGACTTGGGCAGCCTGTGATGATCCTGCCCTCCGGTTCAACCTACTGAAGGCTTCAATGCATTAGGTTGCATTGCCAGGCGCAGGACCTTGATTTGGTCTAGCCTATTCGGTCTCAGTCCATGGCATCACCCAGGTCAAGCGTTCCCCACCAATCCCACTTGAGAAGGGAATATGTGACTGAAGTCACTGCAGTGCCCTGTTCTGGCCAGTATGCCCAGTTCCAGAATGTCCTCTGTTGGAGCCTCTTTGTCTATGGAAAGGTCTTTATTCCGTTCACTCACCACAGGTCAATGCAGGGTTCCCTGCCAGCTCTGCTCTCAATTTGGTTTGCCAATTCCCTCTCTTAGAGCATTGGCATCTCCAGTGAATTGAAACCAATTCAGGTGTGGCAGCGAGTTCAATCTGTGAGTTCTGGCGGCCGCACCAAGTCTTTAGCTGTTCCAATCGTAGCACCTGAACTGCATTTCCAATTGGTTTCTCTCAACTTGGTTCGTTCCTGGGTTGGCAGGGTATATCTCCTTCTGCTTAGGATTCCCCACACCACACCATTCGTGGAATCTAAGCTGGCTATCTCAGAGAGAGCTGCTGTTATCTATCTGCCATCTTTTCTTGATTTCCTTGGGTAGGTTTAATTTTCCCCTACAACCTACCAACATTTGTTATTGGTTGATTTTTGATGATAGCCATTCTTTCTGTAGTGAGATGGAATCTCAGTGTTTTAATTTGCATCTCATGAGTAATAGATGATTTTGAATATTTTTCCATCTATTTATATGTGGTTTGTATTTCTTCATCTGAGAATTGTGTATTCATTTCAGATGTCAATTTTTTGGATTGGGTCTCTAAATTTGGGGAGTCTGATGTTTTTCAATTCTTTGTGGTTGTTGTGAGAGAGGGAGCCTCATGACACAATTAGTGGCTTTATAAGACGAGGAAGAGAGACTAAGCTAGTATGCTTGTTCTACCTTGGGACTCAGGTGCATCTGTCATCAAGAAGTTCCTCAGCAGATGCAGTCCCTATTTCTTGGACTTTCCAGCCTCCAGAGCTATAATAAAGAAGCAAATTTCTTTTATTTACAAATTACTCATTATAATATTGAGTTATGGTAGGGATAGACTAAAACACAAAAGGAGGAGAAATTCAAGGTAAGCAGCTTGGTTGCATATGTCAAGTTAATTCACATATATTGGTCCAAGCTTAGTCATACAGTCACATCTATCAACAAGAGCATCTGGAAAATATAGACTTGCGGCAAAGGTTGGGAGTTTTCATAGTGTTATTCCTGCCTCTGCTGCATCATGTATATTGAACAAGGGTTAAAGATACTTTGTCTTTAGTTTATACAACCCTGAAATACAAAATTCACATCTAGGCCCAATGAAGAGAAATGTATCTCACTACCCCAAGATTTTGGCTATCTAGCTAGGCAGGAATTTTTTTCAGATAGGACTGAGTGAATGTCTTCATATTTGAGAAGAAAATAAAACCAATATTTAGTAGGAATGGACTGATTCACAGAGGATCAATATTTGTGTTTTCTCTTCACCATTGTAGAGCTGTTGCTATCCTGCCAAGAGCTACACATCTGCTTCAACTTTCAGTCTCCCAACTAATTTCCAGCAATACAATGTATTTAGATAAGTGGGTATCATGTTTGAGGCAAGAAAGGTAAGAAGCATGTGTGATTTCTCCATATTCCCTTCATTGTCTTCTGGGTGGATACAGACAGCTTTCAAATCTTACATGATAGCACACGACAAGATGAAAGGAAGCTGAGCCCTGAAATCTCCAACCAGGAATCATCTGGCCCACAAGAAACACCTGTACTGAACTTCCATGTGATTGGAAATAGATTTATTTTACTATGTTAGGTTAAACCACAGTAATGTGGAGTTTTATTGGTCAGAGTAGCTAGCATAGACCTAACAAATGGATTGATTTTATTGATTTATTGACTTACATTTTAAAAACAGAGTATTGCTCTGTAATCCAGGCTGGCCTTGCACTCTTGGACTCTTGCCTCAGCTGGGACTGAAGATGCATACAACCATGTCCAGCTTATTCATTTACTTTTTATGTTGTTTGTATCCGCTCCACAATGCAATCTCCAAGAGATCAAAATCTTTGTCTATTCATTGCTGTGTTCCCAGTGCCAACACAATGTACAGCGCTCAGGGGTGCTCAATAAATACTGCTGAGAGAAGAATAAGTGCATACTGAATTGTGTCCTGCAGAACGATGAGCTTGCCAAATCACATGTGCTCTTGCTGGATGAGACAGATATCATGGATCTGTGAACTAGAGCTAGAAGATCTGTTTTCTCAGAGCATGAATGACTATTCTTTGCTAAAATATTAATGTAACAACTGTGGGTAAAAGTTAACTTGTGATCATCATTCATTTTTTTTTTAAAATTTTATTTAAGGAGAAAAAAGAAAAAAAACAGAAAAAGGATACAAGTTATACAGAATTTCAGAAAAAAACAGTAGGAAATCACTAGTTAATTACATATTGTCATCTTATAAATAGTTGTTTAAGTTACAAAATTAAAGCATATAGAGGGGACATTCAAACAGTGAGACTGCAAACAGAACAAAACTCAGCAATATGGTTATCTATCTGTTCATTTGTTTATTCACTCATCAATCCCCCCATCCATTCATTCATTATACAAATATGTGTAGTGGGTCTACTATGTAGCAAGTTCTTTGTTAGGCATGGCTATATAGGGGATGTATAGGTCAGCACACAACCACAGTTAGAGACAATCTACAATTATATTTAGTTAACTAGAAGCTCTGCTTTAGCAAATAATAGTTATAGGTATAAAGTAAGAAAGACAAAAAAGCATGAGTGGTGTGGTAAGCCTGTTGTGGCACAGGATGTACATGTCTGAATAGTGTTAGGAATGGAGGACTTTGGAGCACTACCAGATGGATTGCCCAATAATTTGTAGGCTAATGGGTGAGAAAGGGAGAAAGAAGTAAGGAAAAAGTCAATGTTTTTATTTGACATTTTAGGGCGCTGTACTGCTCCACTTGGGATGTGTGCATGGGGGCACAGTATTCACATTTTGTATTATATCTAATTATATCATGATGATAAGACTGAAAATTATAAATTGGAAAAATTTTGACAATTGGACAATTTGACTATTGGACAAAATGTATAAGAGGGAGAGTTTTGGGTGAGTATTATGAAACAATTGTGATTGATTGCTGCCTAAGAGTGGAATGTCTTGCCCTCTGAACTAATGGGTTCCAGTATTAGTCATGGTCACTTCCCAAGGCTCTTAACATTATTAAGGCAGAGGAAAGACACTCAAGGATGTCCGGGCCTGGGCTCATGGCCAAGTAATGCTATGAAGTCAAAAACTCCATTCATATTTGGAATATGTACCAGGTTCTGGGGGAAGATCCATGTTTTTCCTCAGATTTGTGAAAAGGTCTATTTAGAAAAGATAAAGTATAAGACAGACATTTACTACAACTTGAAAATTGGTTGGGCACATTGTTCTTTATAGAAAAACTTGAAGATCAGTATGTGAGACACTGGGCATCATTTTCTGTTTGTGTGCCACTTCCAAAGTTGAGGGGTCAAGAAGATGTATGTGGCTTCTTTAAGATGCTTGCTCAGCTGCTTCATTCTTGGCCTGGGACTGGATATTTGGTAATGGGAGCCATCCCTTTCTTTTCTCATGTTAATTTAATAGCAAAATTATGACACATAATTTGAAAATTTAAAACAAACAGCAAAAATCTTGTATCCATCCAAATGATCTTGATTGTCTGGGTAGGCTGGAAATGAAAAGAAAGCACTGGTTATTGTCTGGATAGATATGAAATTTTAAAAAAGCACTGCTCATGTCAGTAATAGTCTACTATGACAAAGAGATCCCAGTAGAGGGGCTTAACTAAGATAATAGTTTATCTTTCTCTCACATAAAAGTCTTGAGGAAGTGGGTGATCCAGAGTAAGTAGGATGGTTTTGTCCACAAGGTTATCCAGGTGTCAGACTCCTTCTATCTTGTCCTATAATCTTCAATATAACTTTTAGTGAGTGGTGAGTGATCTAAACTAAGAGCTGGTACCTCTTGCTACCACAACTGCCTCCAAGAAGGTAGGAGAAGGATAAAAGGGAGGATATATATATATATATTCCCCTTTTGAGGCTACTAGACAGAAACTGTACACATCACTTCTGCTCAGAGCTCTTCCCAAAACCTAGTCCCATGGCGCATCTCATTGAAGGGTAAAATGGGATAATGTGGTCTGCAGCCAGCAATCATGCACTCAACTAAAGCTTCTATTTCTGTAGGAGTGGCAAAGGATGTGGAAGAGATATTGAGTCACCTCTGCCAGTCATTTAAACTTGAACAAGGGTGGGTCTTTTAAAATTGAAATAATATCTAGGATAGTGCTGACCATGAAGCATTTATAACATTTTTGGTTCAGTAATAAAGAATCTCCCACATTTTTAGGAAGCCATATAGATTAATTTATAAAGCGACTATCCAGACCCATCACAAATGTTGTTTCTGTGAGTCCCGGAATGCTTTAAGCCACTATTATTGTACAATCATTTATTTAGCCCTACTGAACACTCAAACAACTAGCCATAGGTTAACAATAAAATCAGTGGAACAGGAGAAGTTTTCCCATGTAGATGGTGGTCTTCAAATATTATGCATATAGATAGAGAAGACAAGAGAAAGTAGGAGAAAGTAGAGGAGACAAGAGAAAGTAGGACAAGAAAAAGTGAGGATAATATGAATATGATCTCATTACAGAGTTCTGTAATCTGACAGGTGTTTTTATAAGAGATATTTGGTATCATTGCCCTTGAGGGCTAAGTACTCTCTATTCCCTCATAACCTTTGGTAACATACAGGTTTTATTAAACCCAGGATGAACACTGGATTTTCTATCTGGTTAATGAAATTCTTGGTTCTGCAGCCACCTCCTTCCTCACACTAGGCCTTTGTCCTTAGTAGAACTCTCAGGTGCTTACAAAGCTTTCACCACAGAACTCCCCAGTAATCAAGATGTGCAGCAAGGCAAAGCGCTGATGAACACTTGCAGAGAATATTATGTAAAAGTTCCTATGACTGATTGGATAGCCCTAGTCAACCTTCATAAATCTTGAATTTTTCCCCTTCACTTACACTGTACTCTCAGTGAGTTAAATTCTATATTATGTTCAAGCAAAGGCCATCCAAATCTTCACATCCATTTGCCTTCAGTTTTACTGCCACTAACCCGCTGACCTTGACAACCACCATCATCTTTTACCTATTGCAATAGAATCCTAGTGCCTCTTTTTTCCTGCTTTCACTCATGCCTTATCTAATCTATTCATTCTCCATATAACAGATGCAAAATTTTCTTAAAATGCAACTCATCCCAAGTTCCACCTCGGGGAAGATCCCCAAAGGGTTTCTCTTGTACTTACAAACAAGTCAAAATTTCTGATTAGGTTCCAATGAATGATGAATCTGAAAATTATTAAGAAATTCCCACACTGGCACCACAAGAGTGGGCAGAAAATACATATAATTTTTTGTAATGTAAATGGAAACATTATGATCCAAGACTCAAAACCCAGTAACCATAGGAAAGGTGTGCGCATATCTCCATAAAAATTATAAAGTTCCATCTAACAAAAATCCATCATAAATACAGCTTAAAAAAGTAAAATAATCTGAAAAACTATTAAAAAATTATAATCAAGAATTACTACTCTTGCTTTGTATATTCTTTTTATATATAAAAACATTTGAATAATAAAAGACAATGTTATGGCAAAAAATAATGCACAGACAAATCACAGAAATCAAATCAAAGGTAAACATAAATGACAATAAGTACATTTAAAAAATTATGAATAACTTAAATATTCCATACAATAGTTAACAATTATAGGACATCCATTTTACAGAAAATTATAAATCCATCAAAAGGAATGAGATGAATTTTTATTAAGTGAAGAAAAAAGTGAGGATAATATGAATATGATCTCATTTATTAAAAAAACACACATCTATATGTAGATGTAGAATATAAATAAAAAACTCAGAATTCACACCAAATTATTTCATTTTTAGGCAAGACAGTAGGATTGGTCAGGTCATGGGGTGTGGTCCAGCTGAAGTAGAGTTTTTAATTGTATTCAACATGCTTTTCTAGCACTGGAACCTTTTAAATGGTCAGCCTATATTCATTTACCTATTTCTTGTGCAATTGTGAAAATAATTTAAAAGAACAACAGAAAATGTGTGGCAGTCACCTAGTAAAGTGCCTGTTGTATTATATTAATAGTACTCAGAATCAAATAAATCTGAAAAAATCTCTCAAAGTCACACTGAAACAGATCTAGTGTCATTCTTGTCACCTAGGGATGTTGCTGATAATGTGCAGTCTGCAGATTAATGCCCACCCCAAACCCCTACCTCCAACCCTCCCATGACACTCTGATTCTTTTTCATTTGCTTCGACCATTAGCTGTAAACTTAACTTAAAAAACAAAATACAGTCATTGTACCCTGGATTTAACACCCAGAGAGTTTCTTCAGGTGCAAATGCATTCCATCCTTGGGTTTGAAGACAGTGTGGTTTGAGAAGGAGAGAGGCCTAGTGAGGTCTGCAGACACTCTGAAATGGAGCAGAATCAAAGCAATGGCCACCTTCAACTCGACCATGGCAAACTGCTGTCCAATGCAGTTCCTGCAGACAAAAAGGGGATGAAAATGATGCTTTAAGGAATGATTTATATATTTTTTCTGATTCTTTAACAAGTTTCTAGAATAATTTGGGGATGACAATGTGCAATCTATGTACAATCACTGTACCCTGGAAGGGGAAAGTTTCTAGAATGACAAGTCTGAAGTTCACAGTACACTATATTTTCACTATAAATGTTATGGAAACTTTTGGGCTTTGGCTTTACATTGTTCACTGTAAGGATTTAAGCTGGGGGTCTTCAACATGATGCTCTCCCTAAAACAAGGCAGCAGTTAGACTTATCCTGGGAACTGTCTTCTGCACTCAAGTGAATTGTGTTGGACCCATGGACAATAACTTACACATGGGATTGCACTCTGAGGCATGGCTATACAGGATGGGATAAGGAATGGAACTGTCCATTGCAGAACTGACTTTTAGAAGCTCAGATGAACATCAAGCTCTACCTAATGAGAAGATGGGTTTCCATGGAGGAACTTACAGAACAGAGGGGCTAAAGGAATTAAGCAATTCCTAACTAACAATTTTTGTGTATTTTCAACAATTTCAAATTGTCCTCACTGACACCATCTCTAAGGCCCATTAGGACTGAGAGTCTGTGCCCAGCAGAGCAGTTATCTGGGAACCTTAGGTGAGGCTGGGACTGGGAAGCTGTGCTCTGGGGCCTGCCCACACCTGAACACCATCTCTGAAGTCTGTGGGGACTGGGAATCTGCACCCACAGTCATCCAAGAACACTTGATGAGTTCTGCAAGGACTGAAATTGCACCCAATGACCCTCACACCTAGGAACCTTAGGTGTGAGGCTCACAGGGACTGATAAGCTGCATTCAGTGACTTACCTACACCCAGGAACCATCTCTGAGGCCTGCAGGGACTGGGAGCCTGTGCCCAGTGACTCACAGTCATCTGGAACCCTCAGTGAGGCCTGCTAAGACAGGGAGTCTGTGTCTAATGACCCATACGCATCTGGAAACCATCTCTGAGGCCCACAAGAACTGGAAACCTGTGCCCAGAAACCTGTAGTCATCTGGGAACCCTCAGGGAAGCACATGGATACTGGGTATCTGTGCCCAGTGACCAAGAACAGACAGGAACCCTTGGTGAGGCCTGCTGCCTATAGAAAAAGGAGCAGCTATGACTTAGCATCTGGATGACTTGGAGGAACACAGGAAAATGCCCAAATGAAAAAACAAAACACAATCTCAAACTTCCAGCCTATCCAGATGAAGTCCAAGAGACACAGACATGACTGAATTTGGAAATCAGACACCTGAAATTTCTGAAATGATAGCAAGGGAAGTAAAGAAACAAATCCAGGAAGCTGTAAAGGAAATGAGATCAGAAATAATAGCTTGGGTAAAAATAGAAATGATAAACATAATGAAAGAACTGCTGAATATATCTAAAGAAGACATGGACTAAAAAAAAAAGAGGAATATAGGAAAGTGGTGAAAACCTTGAATGAACAATACAGGAAACAACTAGAATACATGAAACAGATTCAAGGAAATATTAGGAAACCAAAAATTCTACTGAAAGCTGGCAAAACCACATGGATGAAACTGAAGATAGACTTTCAGACCTCAAAGACTGCAATTACTGATTATGAAAGGAAACAACTCTTTAAAATAATGAGGAATCTGGAAATAATTATTCAACAGTTGCAAGATGATGCAAAGAGTAACCAAAGAAGGCTGATAGGTGTCAATGAAAAAGCAGACAACCCACAACAGAAAAAGACTATTTGCAAACAAAATAACAGAAAATTTCACAAACATGGGAAAAGAACCTGACATGGAGATAAGCAAGGCATATAGACTCCATTTAGCCATAACCAAAATAAATCTATACCTTGATGTATAATAATCAAGATCCCAGAAATTCAGCATAAAAACAGAATATTACAAGCTGTTAGAGAAAAGAAATAGATCACCTATAAAGGAAAACCTGTCAGAATCATGGCAGACTTCTCAACACAAATCATTAAATAAAGAAGAGCATGAGTGAAGTCTTTCAAGTACTGAAAGAAAACAACTTCCAACCCAGATTGATATACCCTGAAAAACTATCTTTCAAAATCAATGAAGAAATGAGATACTTTGATGACAAAAAACAACTGAAGAACTTCATGACAATCAATAAAGAGTCCTGAAAGATATTCTAGAAAGGAGTAGAGATGACCACAATTCCAAGAGCAACAACAAAGAGAACAAGCAACCAACAAACATGACAAGCAATTAAACAGAAAGGGGAAAGTAGGGAACCAACAACAGAAAGATAACATGAAAAAAAGAAGTCAATACATAGCAGTTATAACCACTAATGTAAATGACCTCAATTAACCAATCAAAAGAAACAGCCTGGAAGAGTGGATTAAGAAACAAAATCCAACAGTATGGAATATACAAGAACAACATTTAACTCAAAAGAAAATGCAGTCATAATGTGAAACTTAACACTCCATTGTGGCAAAGAGGCAAATCAATTAGACAAAAAATCAGCAAAGAAATAATAGAACTGAATCAAACTAGTGGACAAATGGATTTAGTGCATGTGTATAGAATATTTCACTGAAAACATTAGAATACATAGTTACACATGGGACATCCTCTAAAATAGACTATCTACTAGCCTAAATAACATGCTTAAGTAATTGGAAAAGAATCAAAATGACCCCATACATATTATCTGATCATAGTGCCATGAAATTGGATATTATTAACAAAAGAAATTGCAAAATCTCCATAAACACATGGGTAATAAATAATACTCTTCTAGATTACCAATATCTCACAGATAAAACTAAAGAATAAATTAAACAACATCTAAAAGCAAGTGGAAATGCAAATACAATTTATAGGAACCTGTGGGATGCAATTAAAGCAGTCATTAGAGGGAAACTTATTGTGGTAAATTCTCATATCAGGAAAACAGAATGAAGACAAATAAACAACCTGATGGTACACCTCAGATATCTAGAAAAAGAGCAAGTCAAGCTCAGAGCCCAAAGAAGGGAAAAAATTGTGAAGATCAGAGTGGAACTCAATGCAACTGAGATGAAGAAAATAATACAAAGAATTAATGAATCAAAGAATTGGTTCTTTGAAAGAGTAAATAAAATTGATAAATTTCTAGCCAACCTAATCCAAAAAAAGGAAAACAAAAACTCAGATTCATGCAATAAGGAATGAAAGGGGTAAAATCATTACAGATCTTGTGGAAATACAGAAGACCATCAATACCTGCTTTGAAAACCTTTACTCTCACAGGTTCAATAACACAGAAGAAATGGGCAGATTCCTAGACACATATGACTTATCAAAACTAGATCAAGAAGATGTGAAACTACTGAATAACACAATTTCAGTCAATGAAGTTGAAAATGTAACTAGAACCTTACCAACCAAGAAATGCTCAGGTCCTGATGGAATCACTGCTGAATTCTACAAAAATTTAGAGAAGACTTAATGGCAACACTCCTCATACTCTTCAACGAAACTGAAGGAGAAGCAAGTCTCCCTAGCTCATTCCTGAAAGCAAGTATTTTTACAATACCAAAATCAGAAAAACCCAACCAAAAAAGAGAACTACAGGCAAGTCTCCCTAATGAACATAGATGCTAAAATCCTCAGTAAAATACTGGCAAACAGAATGCAGCAAATCATCAAGAAGATTATTCAACACAACCAAGTGGGATTCATCCTGGGAATGCAGGGATGGTTCAACATATGCGAATCAATAAACGTAATACACCATATCAATAGAGCCAAAGATAAGAATCACATGATCATCTCATCAGATGCAGAAAAAGCTTTTGATAAAGTCCAACACTCATTCACGATAAGAACTCTATAGAAAATGAGAATAGATGGTCTTTACCTCAATCTGATAAAAGCCATCTATGACAGCCGGCATCATGTTATATGGTTAAAAACTGAAAGCAATTACTCTAAAACCAGGAACAAGACAAGAATGTCCATTATCACCACTTCTATTCAATATAGTGCTGGAAATATTAGTTAGAGCAATTAGCCAAGAGAAAGAATAAGAATAGCAAAGGAAGAAGTTAAATTATTATTATTTTCAGATGACATGATACTCTACATAAAAGACCCCAAAACTCCATTGAAAGATTCATAGATCTAACAAATTCAGTAAAGTAGCTGGATACAAACTGAAAACTCAAAAATCAACAGTATACCTCTGTACAAATAACAAACATACTGAAAGAGAAATAAGGAAAACCACACCCTGTGCACAGCACTTCTAAAAATAAAATACTTAGGAATTAATCTAACAAAGAAAGAAAAAGATCTATATACTGAAAATTATATTACTCTGAAAAGAAATCAAAGAAGAGCTAGAAGAAAGCCTTTTTAATGACTGGGTGTTGAAAAAACTGGCTTTTTGGATGCCAAAAACTAAAACTAGATCTCTGTCTATCATCATGCACTAAACTAAAATCAAAATTGATCAGAGATCTAAATATTAGAACAGAAATTCTAAATCTGCTAGAAACAAAATAGGTAGAAATTTTGAAGACATAGAGTAGGTAGAGAGTGCATGAACAAAAATCAAACTGCATGGGAAATACTTCCCCAAATCAACAACTGAGATCTTGTCTTATTAAAAAGTTTTTGCATGTCAAAAGAAATCTCCAACATAAATTGGAAAAAATATTAGCCAACCATCCTTCACACAAAGGACTGCAATCTAGAGCATATAAAGAATTACAAAAACCTCAGGACCCCCAAATTCAAGGACCCAATCCAAAAATGGGCCTCTGAGATGAACACGCACTTCTCAGATGAAGAAATACAAATGACAACTAAATATATGAAAAAAGTGTTCAGCTTCATTGGTCATTAGAGAAATGCAAATTAAAACAGCACTGAGATTCCATCTCATTCCAGAAAGAATGGCCAAGATCAAGAAATCAACCAATAACAAATGCTCGAGGGGCTGTGGAGAAAAAGGACCTTCTCCACTGTAGGTGGGAGTGTAGATTGGTACAACCACTGTGGAAATCCATGTGGAAGTTCTTCAAAAAGCTAGGATTAGAGGTTCCATTTGACCTAGCTATCCCACTTCTGGACATTTCCCCAGAAGAATTGAAAACATCATACCATAGTGATATATGTGCACCCATGTTTACAACAGCACGATTTATAATAGCCCCATCAAAGGAATGGATTAAAAAGATATGGTATTTTCATACAACAGAGTACTACTCAGCTAAAAAGAATAAAACTTGAGGCTTTTGTAAGTAAATGAATGAGACCTGAGACCATACCCATAAATGAAGTAAATCAGACCCCATGTGTAGATACCATCTTCCTAGTATAAGAAAGTAAAAGAGTAAATAAGATCCAAAATCTACAATAGATATTGTGAAAGGGTAAGAAAGCAATCAAGAGGGAAAAATAACTGGGGCAGGGAAAAAGAGAAAAGATTGAAGGGAAAAGGAAAAAGATAAATCTGTTTATATATAGATAAAATAGCTAAGATGATTATACTACTGATTCTATTAGTTCTTGGAAAAGAACAGTCAGTATTCATATGATTAGATCAATTTTGCATGTCTATACTGAGTAATCTAAGCAACTTCTTTGAAGTTAACAATATGCAATATTACAACCATTGTTAAATTCCTGTCATCTTGTTTTGAAAGTTTATTGTCTTGGATTTTTTATTGTTCTTATAGTTGTTGTTTGTATATCTCTTGTTTTTTGTTTTTCTTTCCTATTTTTTTCCTCTTTAAAATAAAAAAGCAGATAAATTCCAAGAAAAAACAAAAAACAAAACAAGTTGTCCTCACCTTGGTCCAGCTGAAAATGCTAAGAAGGCGTAGGGATGTCTTTGATCAGAATTCTCCTTAGTGAATCTCAAGGGGTCAAAGACCTAAAATGGGAAAACAACCACATAACCATCTCTAAAACAACATGAACACATTTCTTAAGCTACTATTTAGTACTAATCAACAGAGGCATAATAATGTGAAGCATGTGGGTAATTTTAAGTGTTCTTGTAGCCACAATTTTAAAAGGATGAAACTACTTTTCATAACAAAATTTATTTAACAGAAAAATCTGTTCCAGCCTGTAATCAATATAAATATTAAATAAGAAGTTCACATTTTGGGGGTACTATGTCTTCGAAGTCCACTTCTCAATTCTGGCTAGGCTTACTTCAAGTGCTCAATTGCCACATGTTGAGTGAAGCCTAAAACATTGTGTAGTCTATTGTGTGGGTTTGTGTCATTCTATTTCTTCAAAGATAAAGCAGGGATGGGGAAGAGAACATGTTCCTGTTAGTGAACAAGTTTTTGCTTTTCATGTTCATATTTAGTTTCTTTGTTTTAACTGAATCATTATTTCCATGCTTGGTTGTTTAAAAAAAATGAATTGCATGGCACTCCTTGGAAGTACATCTGTGGAAGACAGTCCTACCTGAGGGCTATTCCAGACAGCAGGGTTGTGGTGAAGACCCCAAATACTCAGAACCACATTCATTCCTGAGGCAGAAGGGAAATAAAAAAAAAAAGAATGTGGTGGAAAAAGGAGAAAAAATGGAAACAAAGTTGCTTTTATAAATAAGGAGAGGAAAAAGGTTTAAAGGAAGGGAGAGGAATGGGGAGAAAAAGAAGAATCAAGGCATATCATGTACAGATACAAATTCTGATGAATGTGATCAGTATGTATATCTAAAGTGCACCAATAAAATTAATGAATTAGAAAAAATAATGAGGGAGAAAGAGCAAACTGGGGGCTGCTGTTTATACAGTTCTTCCAAAAGACTTTTCCTCTGAAGGGAAAGAGGTGACTTCTTATAGAGCTGTGTGTTGTTGCTAATGCCACCAGGGAAGAACACATGGAAAGGTGAGGCTTAGGTTTGTACCTTAGTTCTCAAAACAATATTTTACTTAATTTATGGTTCTATTCTAAGGACCTGTTTGTGTCACATGAAAGCATGTTGACATTACTTACGTAACTGTTAAGGACTGTAAAGCACTGGTACATGGGGCAGTTTGGGTACATAGGAACAGAATTATAATCCCACCATTTCAGATCCAGTGGTTAATTCCTGTTGGCACCATAGAAGGTATGGAATTCTGGCAAATTAATTTTGGACATGTCACCAAAGTTACAGTAACAGGTTGTAGGTGTTTGCCACAAGCAACCCAAAGCAGACAAGTGGAAGGGCAGCTTGCCTGACCCTGCTACCTTCTCCATGTCCTGCCCAGAAACCTGTATACTCAAGAGTGTGTGGCCTCATCTATGCACTGAGGCTGCCATGATGAGTTTTTCATTACTTTAAAAGTATTTAGAAGTGTTTTTTAAATCATATATCACTGCATAATTGGCCATTAATACCACATTTCATGGGAAAAATATGAGGTAATGTGTTTGAAGGCTCCATGTAAATTACTCAGGGCTGCACATAAGAATAACATTATGATGATGAGGCCCTCCTAGGTCTCTCAAATTAAGATAATGATGCTCATCTTGAATGAAATGTTACTAAGTTCTCAAACAGTTTAACAAAGATTTTATTGGAAGTAATGTCCTATACTGGATCCTGGTCTGGGATTCTAGGTTCAGTTTTGCTGCAAATGGCTGTATGGCTTGGGAACTTCATTAAAACTCATATCCGATGAAGGAATTATTCCCTAATTTCTTAATAGGTACCCAATCCTTTGGGCTATCTTTTGACTTCTCTAAGAGCTAAGAAACCCTTCCATTGTTGTTGCCATGATCCCCAGGATCCCATGATGTCTATGAACTGCTCACAAAAAGACAAAGACCTGTGGGCAATGAGCGTCCATCTGGGAAGGTGAGGGGCTTGCTGAGCTCTCTGGAAATGGACGGCACTGGAGGAATCAATCGGAACATCTCCTTGATACACATTGTTGTGTAGGACATCTCATCCAGCTGGTCCCTGTGAATATGAGGAAGGAAGGGGATTCAGACTCCAGATTCAGTTTGCAAATACTGAGTTTTTGCTCTTTGATGTTTCATTACCTCAAGGTAAAGCTATGTTATCATGAGTTTATGTAACAGATTGTTAAAATGGAAGTGGTTTTTTTTTTTTTTTTTTTTTTTTTTTTTTTTTGCCTCAGAATCAGCTGAGGTAGAAAAACTAACAACAGGTGCTCTGTAGCTTAACTACATGCTCAGGTGTTCAGCTACTAGTAACAGGTTTGCCCAGGAGAGTTTAGAAAAACCAGTTTTGCAATCCTTAGCTCATAATACAAAGCAGGAATGTGTAAGGAATGAGTAAGGAGTGCAAAGAGAAGGCTAGAAAAATTCAAGAGAGAACTGTGCCTTTTAAAGAGATGTAGGGATGGCAGAGTACCATGGAGAATGGAGGAGGGTGCTTCACCTGTTTTAGGTAACCAAAAGGGTAATTCAGGAGGGTCACCTAGATGATCTCACACATGTTTCCTGGAATTTGACGAGCACAGGAATGATGGGAAAGATTGTGAATTGGAACAGAGAAGCAGGAGAGAGCAGCTGCGACAAGGCAGGATGTGCAAATTGTCCACTGGATCAGTGAACTGAAGAAGGAAGAGACAGCTCCAGAACCAGGTAGAGGAAGACTGCCCAAAGATTATAATTCATTTGCTCTGTCAATGACCATTGGAAAGTTCTGGGGAGGGAGTCCCTAGAAAATCCACAAGTATACCCACCAAGCCCTTTGGGCCTGTAATCACAATAGTTCCAGGACTTTTCTCCTTGTGTCTGCTGCTTGTGGACTCACTGCTGGAAAGGTTAGAAGAAGAAGTTTCAGGGCAGGAGAAGAGCTTGTCAGTAAGAATATGCCAATAACAAATCCCTCACTTTCTGCTGGCTTCCAGGCTCAAAGAAGTATGAATGGAGCTGCTCAAGGTGGATTTGAAGCATTATTTCTATTGGTTAGACAGGTTACTTATGTGGATGGGAGCTCTGCAACACCTGCTCAGGATTTGCCCTCAAGATGAAAAGAACTTGACCCACAGAGCAAGTCTGAAGTGTCGACACCCAAAGAATAGTTGTGTTTTTACTGGCACCCTTGATAGTCAGGTTAGTCCAATAAACCATCTGCATATTCTTAGTCTATTTGTTTTATTGTATTTGCACACATTTTTTGATTATCATTTGGTAATGTGATGTTTTAGTTTTGAATACTTTCTTCCTCAAGGTCAGGATAGAAAAGAGTACTTCTGCTTATTCTGGTACTTTGCATGATTAGAAAACATTTCCCCCCCCTATCTCATCATGGTGCAAAAGGAAGAATTTTAATACAACATGGAAATGGGCTGACAAGGTGCTAAAGGGAGAATCTGAACAACTTTCCTAATTTCCCAGAAATTGTTCTATATGAAGTGGTTTTATTACTCTTGTCTAGAAGAATTGTAAAATTTTAGAATGCCATGTACAAATTGCATTAACTTGTAGCTGTAAGTACATGTTACAGAGAAAAAGTATATTTTTCTTTATAATACCATTGGCCAGTTAGTAGATCATCTGGACTTTATTTTGTCATCCAATAAAGACTTACTGTTTTTCATAGTTCAGTCAAGTAAAACTGAGAAAAGTCAGGATTTGAATTGTGCAAAGTATATGCCTAGTCAAAGTTAAAATATCTAGTTCATCTTGAAAAGTGATAGACAATGTTTCCAAATTCAATGAGCTAAAAAAAAAAGATTACTCACTGGGGGAAAATAGGAGGTTCCTCACTTGGATTATCCTACAGCAACAGTAAGTTCACAGCCATCCATAGAAAAAAGTGTTTTTGTGAGAGGCACTGCCTGGTCTGATAATCTGTTACAAGACTATAGTAGTCAAAATATTATGGTGCTTTCTCAAAAACAGACACATAAAACAATGGGATAGGAGAGAGAGCCCAGAAATACATCCATACACTTTTTAGAAATTTTTATTTTAAAGAGAATGAAACCAAACAAAATAAAACTGAATAAAGCCAACCAAAACAAAACCGTGAAAGTGATACAGGACTTCAAAACAGGATAATAGGAAATCAACAGTGGATAACATAATCTTCAAAATTTCTGCCTATACCATCAGACATAGTAAAACCAAACAAATAGAACAGAATAAAACAAATCAAAACAGAACACAGAAGAAAACAAAACAAAAAAAATGGAACAAAACAAAACAGTGAGAACAATATTGCGGTACGGCCAGAGGAGGGAACTGGGCTGCTGGCGGGGGTGAGTTCCTGCTCACCTTTCAGATCCCTGGGAGAGTTTAAGATCATCACTTCCAGTGGTCAAGGACACGCCCAGCTTCCAGCCACACTAGACTGGACACTGCAGGTTTCAGGCCTGCCTGGGCCATGCCCAGTGACCTTCTTTCAATCTGGGGAACTGGGCTGCCAGAGGAGGGAACTGTGCTGCCGGAGGAGGTGAGTTCCTGCACACCACCTGGAGCCCTGGGAAAGTTTAAGATCATCCCTCCCAGTGGTGAAAGATGCGCCCAGCTTCCAGCCACACTAGACTGGGCTCTGCAGGTTTCAGGCCTGCCTGGGCCATGCCCAGTGACCTTCTTTCAATCTGGGGAACTGTGATGCTGAGGAGGGAACTGGGATCCCAGCAGGGGTGAGTCCCTGCTCACCATCCTGAGTCCTTGGAGAGTTTAAGATCATTGCTCCCAGTGACCAAGGACCCAACCAGATTCCAGCCACACTGGACTAGGCTTGGGAGGTTTTGTGGTCTGACTAGATTACACCTAGTGACCTTCTCCAATTAAGGGAGTTGAGAGCCCATGAAGTAAGCACATTGGTCCTTGCCCAGGGAGAGATTTGGACCATCATCCACAGAGGTTAAGTGCTTGCTCAGCTTCCTGGAACACTAGAGGTGGCATGGGAGGTCCTGTGGGCCTGACTGGACCATGCTGAGCAACCTCCATTCAGTCCCAGGAGCTGAGATGATTTCCAACATGCCCAGGGGAAGCCTTGGAACAACACTTGAAAAACAGAAATAGAGGAAAATGACAAAATGAAAGACCAAAATGCAATGTCAAATCTCCAGCCCACCCCAAGAAAGCCTAAGAGCCAGGTATATAGAAGAAAATATATGTCATATACCTGACATACCTGAAATAATAGCAACTGAGATAAAGAAGCAATTCTGGGAAGCTTTAAAGGAATTCAAACTAGAAATAATCTCCCAGGTAAAAGAAGAAATGATGAAAGTAATGAAAGAGATGCTGAACACACCTAAAGAAGACATAGTTAACAACTTAGAGGAACAAAGCAAAAGGATAGAATCCCTGGATGAACAATATAAGAAACAAACAGAATGCATGAAGCACATTCAAAGATACATACAGGAAATGAAAAATTTCATTGAAAGTTGTCAAAACCACCTCAATGAAAGTGAAGATAGAATTTCAGACCTCAAAGACAAGATTGTAGCTAGTGAACAGGAAAGAAAAGACCTTTTAAAAATAACAAGGAATCAAGAAATAACAATTAAAGAGCTACAAGATGATGCAAAGAAAAACAACATAAGATTGATAGGGATAAATTAAAAAGAAGGAGACAACACAAATGATATCAAGAGACTATTTAAAGAATAATAGCTGAAAATTTCCCAAACGTGATAATGGAAATGAACATATGGATTAATGAAGCATATAGAACCCCAAATAGCCATAACCAAAATAAAACTACACCCAGACATATAATAATCACCATCCAAGAAATCCAACATAAGAATAGAATATTAAAAGCTGTTAGAAAACACAGATCACCTATAAAGGAAAATTTATCAGAATCACAGCAGACTTCTCAACACAAACAATGAAGTCAAGAAGAGCCTGGAGTGAAGTATTTCAGATCCTGAAGGAAAATGATTTCCAACCTAGACTGATGTACCCTGCAAAACTGTCCTTCCAAATGTATGGAGAAATAAGATACTTCCATGTCAAAGAACAGCTGAAGAACTTCATGATCACCAAGCCAACCCTGCAAAGAATACTGAAAGACAGTTTAGATAACATAGGGAAAAAAAAACCACTAAGCAAGGCAGACAATTAAACAGAATGGAAAAATAAAGATGCAACAGCAGAAAGATATCATGTCAACAATAAACCAATATATAACAGTTATAACCATTAATGTAAAAGGTCTCAATTCACCAGTTAAAAGAAACAGACTTGCAGAATGGATCAAGAAACAACATCCAGCCATATGCTGTCTACAAGTAACCCATCTAACCCAAAAGGAAACTCACAGACTGAAAGTCCAAGGATAGAAAACAATACTTAATGCAATAGGAACCAAAGAAAAAGCAGGAGTAGCTGTTCTGTATGCAGACAATCTGAACTGCAAATCAAGAATGATCCAAAGAGATAAAGAAGGTCCCTCATACTGGTTAGGGGAAAACTTCAAGAGGAACAGATAACAATCTTAAATATATATGTACCAAATTCCAGAGCCCCCAGTTATACAAAGCAAGTATTAATGGAAATGAAAAATCAAATTAGCAATAGCACAATTATAACAGGAGACCTTAACACACCATTGAAACCAAAGGACAGATCAACCAGACTAAAATCAGCAAAGAATTAAAAGAACTGAATCACACCTGTGAACAAATGGACTTAATAGACATATAGAGTATTCCTTTCAACATCAGAATATACACTCTTCTCAGCACTACATGGAACATTCTCTAAAATAGACCATATACTAGCCCAAAGAGCATACTTAAATAAATGAAAAAGAAATGAAATTATCCCATGCATGATCATAGTGCCATGATACTAGAAATTATTGATAAAAGAAACTACAAAAATCCCACAAACACAAGGAAATTGAGTAATACACTCTTGAGCAAACAGTGGATTAAGGGGAAATTAAAGAAGAAATTAAACAATACCTACAAGCAAACAAAAATACAAATACAACTTACTGGAATCTGTGGGATGCAA